GTAAAACCGGCCGTAACGCGCGACTGTCGTAAAAGGTGCCCTAAAGCGAGACTGTTGTAAAAGGTGATGTAAAGCCGACTGTCGTAAGAGGTGAAGTAAAGCAGCACTGTTGTATAAGGGGGGTGTAAAGCGCGACTGTTGTAAACGTGCCGTAAATCATCACTGTCGTAAAACCGGCCGTAAAGCGCGAGTGTCCCAAAAAGCTGCCGTAAAGCGCGACTGTCGTAAAGACACTTTTGGGACACAGGTTTTATTCAGCTGTTTAATAGTGTCGCCAGCTCAGAAATGGCTGTTGCAGACCCGGCCCCAGCCTGCTGGGCGCTGGTTCAGCTCTTTGCTGCTCGGGGGATGCGTGCAGCAGCCGCCCCGCCGAGCTCCGCCCCTTGCCGCCGCAAGTCCAGAACGGGACACGCTCCCAAGTCCCTGTTGGACCCCACGGCACTGGTACCCCCGGTCTCGCTGTGCCACCCGCCCCGCCCCCCGCCCTTCCCACCGCCCCCGCGATCCCCGATCTCCGCCTTTGCCATCCCGTCGGTCCCTGCTGTCCCGGCTCCCCCGGGCCCCGCCCCTAATCCCGCCTCTGGGATCCCGCCCACCGGCGTCACCGCGGCCCGCCCCTAACCCCGCCTCTGCGGCCCTGCCCCTAGTCCTGCCTTTGCGGCCCCCGCCCCTAACCCCGCCTCTGCGAGCCCGCCCCTAACCCCGCCTCTGCGGCCCTGCCCCTAGTCCTGCCTTTGCGGCCCCGCCCCTAATCCCGCCTCTGCGAGCCCGCCCACCGGCGTCACCGCCGCGGCATGGCTGGCCGAGCCGCGCCTTCCCAATGCAGTCTCCTGCTTCAGAGCTGCGGGATGGTGCGGCTCCGCCGCCTCTTGCATTCACGGGCGTCCCGGCGTTCCCTTCCGCGGCCGCAGCCCCGTTCCCGTTCCTGCAGCTCCGCCACCTCCCGCACGCCCCGGCCCGCCCGCCATGATGACTGCCCACGCTGCCCCAGTGACGCAACAAACGCATGCGCACTTGCTACAACCGCTGCACCAGCGATATCACTCCGCGCCGACTCATCCAACCCCAGCGCCGCTTCCGGGATAAGCCGCACGCATGCGCAGTTCTATCTCCACGGGGCGCCGCCGCCACCCTACTGCCACTGCTTTGGCCGCAGCTTTGGTACAGCCCGGTCCCGGTTCCGACCCCGGTCCCGGTTCCGAGCCGCTGCGTGCCGCTGTCCGGCCACAGCCGGCATCTCCGTGCCCGGTCACGCCGCTTCCGCCACCACCGGGTCTATACACGGCACCACAGCAGGCGAAAACTGCAGCGTCTCGCATGTATCCTTCCGCGTCTCTGGCTCTGCCAAAACTTGAGGAGGTGGGCACGGCCGCATCACCGAGAGATCCCTCCGCAGCGCGTAACCGGCACAGCTGATCCCTGATATCCCTCCGCGTTCTCGCCTTTGCCTTCCGCACTCCTAGCACCGAACGGGACTACTTTGTGTCACGATTCGCCCGCACAGCCACATCCACGCACACAAACCGTGCGACAAGGAGGCGGAGGCTGGAATATGACAGGTGCTTTAGTAAATACAGCACAGACAGAGAATTATTTTGCCCCTGCAAATGCCAACCCTTTGATCCCAACACAAAAGAATTTCGAAAAAGAACTGTTTCCAATAGCTCCAGTGTCCCCCCCAGTGTTTGGGACAGATTTCTCGACCCAAAAAGAGACACTAAACTCTGAAAATTCGCCAGCATTAATCCCAAAATTGGAAAACTCACAAAAATATTTTGATAATTTTCAACTAAGAGACTGGCATGAAATCAGACACCAGATTTGCGAAGAAGAAAGTCTAAATCCTCTAGCTATGCCTGTGCTATTCAGCCGGCAGCCGGTGGTCCTACAATATGGGTGGCTATCCCACCTCATGAGATAAAAGAATTGCGAAAAGCAATAAGGGACAGCGGTATCTGCTCCCCATATTTTAAGCAACTGCTGAAAAGTACCCTGGAAGGACACACACTCACACCAAATGACTGTAAAAATCTTAAATCTTGCTAATATAATTCTCACAGTGTCACAATATATGCTATGGGTACTCAAATGGACATTATTGAAAATAATGCCAATGCAGAATGTAAAAGAGCTATCAAAGCCCGAGGAAAAGAAAAACCCTCAGTGCCTGAAATGATTGATGGCTGTAACAAAATTGGGAGTCCACAGCAAGTGGAAAGTATCCAGGCAAATGAACTTGGAAAAACTCTAGGAGAAAAAATTGAAAGGGGAAAAATGTGGGAAACATGAGGGAAAATTAAGGGAAACGTGAGGGGAAAAAAGTGGGAAGCGTGAGGGGAAAATGGTGGGAAATGTGAGGGGAAAAGGTGGAAAATGTGAGGGGGAAAATGGAGGGAAACAAGGGGGGAAAAGGTGGAAAACGTGAGGGGAAAAGGGTGAGAAGCATGAGGGGGAAAGGGCAGGAAATGTGAGGGGAAGATGGTGGCAAACGTGAGGGGAAATGGAGGGAAACGTGAGGGGAAAAAGGCAGGAAAAGTGAGGGGAAAATGGTGGCAAACGTGAGGGGAAAAGAGCAGTAAACGCGAGGGAAAATTGAGGGAAACGTGAAGGGGAAAAGGTGGGAAACATGAGGGGAAAATGGAGGAAAACCTGAGGGGAAAATGGTGGCAAACATGAGGGGAAAAGAGCAGTAAATGTGAGGGAAACCTGAGGGGAAAATGGAGGGAAACATGAGGGGAAAAAGGCAGGAAAAGTGAGGGGGAAATGGTGGCAGACGTGAGGGAAACCTGAGGGGAAAATGGAGGAGAACCTGAGGGGAAAATGGTGGCAAATGTGAGGGAAACCTGAGGGGAAAATGGAGGGAAGCGCGAGGGGAAATGGCCGACACTCCCCCAGCCGTCCGTCCGTTCCTGCCAAAACCACGCACAAATTCTGCCTTTTAAATTTTTTTATTGATTTTTTTTCCATGAAAAATACAAAGAGTCGAGTCCAGGGGTGGGGGCCGGGGGGTCCCGGTCCCCTCCGAGGGGTCCCGCAGTGCCACAGGGGGGTCCCTGGGCACCTTTTGTCCCCGCGTTGGGCCCCCCAAAAATGGGCCGGGGCTGAGGTGGGGACCCCTTATTGCTACAGAATTGGGGGTCCCCTGGCCCCCCTCCCCAAATTCCGGGGCTGGATGATCCCCGGAAAAGGGGATGGGGGGTCAGAGTTTGGGGGGGGGGGGGGGGTGTGGTGATGGCGGATCTGGACACGGGGGTCGCTCCTAAATATTTATATTAATAATAATTAAAACTACAAGAAGCTTCACACAGGCACGACACAAAAAAACCAGGAGCCGGGGTGGGTTTGGGGAAGGGTCTGGGGAGAAAAAAGAGGGTCCCGGGGAGTGCCAGGATTGGGGAAAAACCAGGGGAGAATAGGAAATAAATGGGAACTAAACCACTGAAAAGTGAGAAATTATCCCGACGGCAAAGGGAAAATAAATAAGAATCGCAATAATAATAATAACAATAATAATAACATCAATAATAATTAATAAGAAGAATAATTAAGAATAATTAAGAATAATAACGATGATAAGGAGTAAGGGGGAACTCAGGGTTGGGGCTTTTCAGGTGGGGTTCCGCCCTTTTGTTTTTTGGACAGGAGGCTCCAAACTCCAGCAAGTGGAGTAATTTGGGGCAAAAATCGCCCATTTTGGAGAATTTGGGAAGGGAGGAGGGGGAGGTGTGACACGACACATCCCCTCCCTCCCAGTTTTGGGGGTACCAGAGCAATCCCTGGCATTTCAGTGCCCCTGGCCCCCCAAAACTTGCCTTGATCACTCTTGGGGTTCACAAGCTGCTTCCAAGGAACTCGGGGAGCACAAAGCAGGTTCTCACCCCCTCTGGAAAAGGCGATTGTGGGGATTTTGGGGGATATTTTTTAATATTCTGCTATAAAAATAGATGGATTTGGGCCGGCGGCTGCCGAGGAGCCGCCGCTCCCTGCGCCAGTCACGCTCCTCCCTTACCTGATAACGGGTAACAGGTCTGATTAAACACCTGATCAATCCTTGCTTTTGTTCTTCCTCCCCAAAAATTCCTCCCCCTCCCCCAGAAAATGAAGGAAAGACGTGGAAAGGAGGAGAGAGCGAGCAGAGCCCCCTCCCCTTCCCCTTGCTGGAGTCCTGGAGCGGAGGGAAGGGGGGGCACAGCCCCCACCTGGACACACCTGGATCAGGTGAGGGGGGGGGCACCGCTCCAGGTGGTCCGGCCACCGCCGGAGTGGTGGGGTTGGGGTACCCGGGGGGGGGGGGTCCCAGGTGTGTCCACAGCGTCCTGGGGGGTCTCTAGGGCCCCTCCCAGTGCCCTGCAGCACCTGGAGGAGGCCGCCGGGGACAGGTGAGGGTGTCCAGGTGTCCGGGCTGTGCGTCGGGTGTCCCCACGCTGTCCTCGGTGGCCATGGAGGGGCTCGGGGGTCTCCATGGTGTCTGTGGCGCTCATGGGGGGGGTCCCCGTGGTCTCCAAGGTCTCCAGGTGCGTTTCTCCATCTCCTGGAGAGCCAGGATGTCCTTGGTGTCCATGGAGGGCCTGCCCAGGACCTGAACTGGGTTTCTCCGTGGTCTCCATGCTGCTCATGGGGGGGACCCTGAGGTCTCCAGGACGTGTTGGATGCTCATGGGTGTCCCTGAAGGTCCCTCAAGGTCCCCAAGGTCTCCAGCTGGGTTTCTCTGTGGTGTCCATGGGGGGGGACCCTGAGGTCTCCAGGTCTTCATGTGGGTTTCTCCATGGTCGCCATGGTGTCCCTGAAGGTCCCTCAAGGTCCCCAAGATCTCCAGTTGGGTTTCTCCATGGTCTCCATGGTGTCCATGGGGGTCCCTGAAGGTCCCCAAGGTCTCCAGCTGAGTTCCTCCATGGTGCTCATGGGGGTCCATGAAGGTCCCTCAAGATCTCAAAGGTCCCCAAGGTCTCCAGTTGGGTTTCTCCATGGTCTCCATGGTGCTCATGGGGGTCCCTGAAGGTCCCCAAGGTCCCCAAGGTCTCCAGTTGGATTTCTCCGTGGTCTCCATGGTGTCCATGGGGGGGACCCTGAGGTCTCCAGGTCTTCATGTGGGTCTCTCCATCTCCATGGTGTCCATGGTGTCCCTCAAGGTCCCTCAAGGTCCCTCAAGGTCCCCGAGGTCTCCAGCTGAGTTCTTCCATGGTGCCCATGGGGGTCCCTGAAGGTCCCTGCAGGTCCCCAAGGTCTCCAGTCGGGTTTCTCCATGGTCTCCATGGTGTACCGCAAGGACCCTGAAGGTCCCCAAGGTCTCCAGTCGGGTTTCTCCATGGTCTCCATGGTGTACCGCAAGGACCCTGAAGGTCCCCAAGGTCTCCAGTTGGGTTTCTCCATGATTCCCACAGAGGTGATCCCCAAACCCTCCACCCCAATCCCACCACAGCGCTCATAGGGAGGGTCCCACACCCCCACGGGAGACCCCCACACCTCCCCATGGACATGGAGCGCACCAACCTCAGGCCTTGTGCTGCTTGGTGGCCTTGAAGGACACCTGGACCCCCACACCCCCACAGGAGACCCCCAGACTCCCATGGGATGGGATGGGATGGGATGGGATGGGATGGGATGGAGCACACCAACCTCAGGCCTTGTGCTGCTTGGTGGCCTTGAAGGACACCTGCAGCACCCCAATTCCACCATGGCGCTCACAATGGAGGGTCCCCACACCCCCATAGGAGACCCCCACACCCCCATGGGGCGATGGAGCACACCAACCTCAGGCCTTGTGCTGCTTGGTGGTCTTGAAGGACACCTGCAGCACGCGCTCGCCCAGGCGGTAGCCGTTGAGGCTGGCGATGGCCATGGCCGCCTCCTCGTAGTTGGTCATGGTGACGAAGCCGAAGCCCTTGCACTTGTTGGTGGCGAAGTCGCGGATCACCTTGACGTTGGTGACGGCGCCGAAGGGCCCGAAGAGCTGCCACAGGACGCTCTCGTCCGCCTCGGGCGCCAGGTTGTAGACGAAGATGCACCAGCCCGGCCCGGGGGCGCCCAGGCCCACCCCGGCCAGCGCCGGCACCGCCTCGATGGCCAGCGGGGAGAACCTGGGCAGCAGCGACAGCGGGCTGGCCCGGGGTCAGCCGGGGGGCCTGGGGGGCCCTCCTGGGCCGGGGAGGGTCCCCAGGGTGGGTTTGGGGGGATTTGGGGGGGTTTGGGGGGGGCTGTGTTACCTCTTCACCCCGTAGGCCACGTTCAGCAAATTGTCCAGGCTGGGGGGTGAGGGGGCGTTAGGGGGGGCAGCAGGGGAGGGTCTCTGTGCCCACAGGGGGGTCCCACCCCCCAGAGACCCCCACTCTGAGCCCCCCCAGGATCATTGGGGTTTATGTTCCACCCCCTCAGACTGTCCCAGGACGCCCAGTGTCTCTGTGCCCAGCGGGGTCTCACCCCTCTGACCCCCCAGCACCCCCATTCCTGGGGATATCCCACCCCTCCAGGACCCCCATATCTGGGGTGTCCCCTCGCAGCCCCCCAGGACCCCCATTCCTGGGGCTACCCCCCATTTCCAGCCACTGGAAACCCATTCTGGGGGTGTCCCCCATTCCAGGCGTGTTCCCCCATTCCCAGCCCCCCAAGACCCCCATTCCCAGAGGTATCCCCCCGCCAGCACCCCCATTCCCGGGGTGTCTCCCATTCCAGGGGCATCCCACCCCCCCAGGACCCCCATTCCTGGGGATATCCCCCATTTCCAGCCACTGGAAATCCATTCTGGGGGTGTCCCCCGTTCCTGGGGTGTCCCCCCATTCTCAGCCCCCCAGGACCCCCATTTTTGGGATGTCCCCCATCCCCGGGGTTGTCCCCCATTCCCAGCGCCCCCAGCTCTCCATTCTGGGGTGTGTCCCCCATTCCCAGCCCCCCCATTCCCAGGGGTGTCCCCCCATTCCCAACCCCATTCCCAGAGATATCTCACCCCCCCAGCCCCCAAGTCCCGCCATTCCCACGGTGTCCCCCCAAAATCCCCCCCATCTCCAGGGGCGCCCCCCCATCCCCGGTGTCCCCCCCCCATCCCGGGGGTCCCCCCGCTCACCGGAAGCGCTGCGGGGGGGGGTGCAGCGCCCCGTAGCGCCGGGCCCCGGGGCACAGGCTCAGCAGGGCCCCCCCCGATTTCTGCCCGGGGCTGTTGGCGAACTTGACCGTGATGGGCTCGGCCGCGCCCAGCGGCTTCTGCCCGTGCAGGCCCCGCACCGCCTCCTCCGCCTCCACGCGCTTGTCGAAGCGGATGAAGCCCACGCCCCGCGACACACCTGCGCAGGTGATGTGGGGGGGTCGGGGACAGCCCCCTCGGAACCCCGCAGAACCCCCCAAAACACCACAGAACCCCCCAGAACCTCCCAAACCCCCTCAAAAACCCCGGAACCCCGCAGAATCCCCCAAAACACCCCAAAACCCCCACCCAAAACCCCCCAGACCACCACAGAACCCCCAAAATCCCACAGAACCCCCCACAAAGACCCCCAAAACCCCCCAGAATCCCCTTCCTGCCTTGCCCACCCACAGACCCTATAGGGATTGCTGGGTAACCCGCCAAAGGGGAGCCACAGCTCTGCAGAACCCCCAAAATCCCCCAAAACCCCCCAAAATCCCCCAAGACCCCCACCCCAGGGATGTCCCATCCCCCAAAACCCTCCAGGAGTGTCCCAGGACCCCCAGAACCCACAAGGACCCCCCCACTCCACGGATGTCCCAGGACCCCCAGGACCCCCAGGACCCCCATTCCCAGGGCCGTCCCCCCCTCCCAGGTGCGCCCCGCGCCCCCCCGGCCCCACCTGTGACCTGGTCCACGAGGATGCGCGAGGTGATGATGCGGCCGTACTGCGAGAAGAGCTGCTCCATCTCCTTCTGCCCCATGGCCTTGGGCAGCCCGCTCACGTACAGGTTGGCGTCGCGGATGGACGCCGAGCTGGGCCGGGCGTAGGACACCTGTGGGGACAGGTGAGCCCTGGGGACCCCCGGGGACCCCCGGGGACACGGGCAGGGCCCGTCCGGGCCGTCCGCCCGCCACAGAGGGACCCACGGGTGCCATTTCCACCACAGAGGGACCCGTGGGTGTCCCACCCGCCACAGAAGGACCCACGGGTGCAAATTCCACCACAGAGGGACCCACAGGTGCCCCCTCCACCTCAGATGCCCCCCAGGTGCCCCCCAGGTGCCCCCTGTGTCACCTTGATGGTCTTGGTCTGCAGCTTGAGCCCGTTGAGGGCCCCGATGGCCCGGTCGGCGTCGCCGGCCTCCACGTAGTTGACGAAGCCGTAGCCCAGGCTTTGCCCTGGGGACATCGTGTCACCGTGTCACCGTCACTGGGGTGGTGGCAAGGGTGTCCCCTGTGCCCCCGGAGCCACCCCCAGCCCTGTGCCCAGAACCACGGCTGTCCCCCTGTGTCCCCTGTGTCCCCATGGGTGTGGCACTCGGGGTCAAACCTGGGGGGACAGGGTCATGGGGACAGGGACAGGATCATGGGGACAAGGGAGGGACACCAAATTGTCCCTGCTCCCATGGTCACTGTCTGTCTCTGTCCCCACAGGTCCCTGTGTCCCTTCTCCCTTCCCATGTCACCGTGTCCTGTTTCCCTGTGTCCTGTGTCCCTTGTCCCACCTGCCCATGTCCCATCTGCCCATGTCACCGTGACCCTTGTCCATCTGCCCACGTCACCATGTCGCATCTCCCACACTTCACATCCCTGTGTCCCCATGCCCTGTTCGTGCCCTGTGTCCCCCTACCCATGTCCCTGCCTGTCCCTGCCCCATGTCTCCCTGTCCCCATGTCCCCGTGCCCCCGCCGTTACCGGTGACCTTGTCCCGGACCAGCTTGCAGGACTCGATGTCTGCCCTGTCCCTGTGTCCCCCTGCCCTGTCCCCATGTCCCCGTGTCCCCGTGTCCCCTCCCGTACCGGTGACCTTGTCCCGGACCAGCTTGCAGGACTCGATGTCGCCCAGGCTGCCGAAGAGGCTCCTCAGCTCCTCCTGGCTCATGGACTGCGGCAGGTAATTCACGATCAGGTTCGTTTTGCTGTCGTCGGCCACGGGCGGGGGACCCGGGGGGGCCCCGTTGGGCAGCGCCGCCGCCACCCCCGGGCCGGGCACGGCCACCACGGGCACGGGCACGGGCACGGGGCCGCAGCCCGAGGGCCCCGCGGCGCTGGGAGCCTGCGCCTCCACGGTGCTCAGGATCTGCGGGGACAGGGGCGTCACAGGGACAGGGACAGCGACAGGGACAGCCAGGGGACAGTGACAGGGTGGGCATGGCCAGGGGACAGGGACAGTGACAGGGCACCGCGGCGCTGGGAGCCTGCGCCTCCACCGTGCTCAGGATCTGCGGGGACAGGGGCGTGACAGGGACAGGGACAGTGACAGTGTGGGCATGGCCAGGGGACAGGGACAGTGACAGCCAGGGGACAGGGACAGGGCCCCGTGGCGCTGGGAACCTGCGCCTCCACCGTGCTCAGGATCTGCGGGGACAGGGGTGTGACAGGGGGACAGTGACAGGGACAGTGACAGCCAGGGGACAGGGCCAGGGACAGTGCGGGCATGGCCACGGCCAGGGGACAGCGACAGTGACAGGGCGGGCATGGGGACAGCGCTGCGGGGACGGGGACACGGGATGGGGGGCACGGGGAGGAGGGGACAGTGACAGGGCGGGCATGGGCACGGCCAGGGGACAGGGACAGCGGGATGGTGGGCACGGGGAGGGGACAGCGGGAGGAGGCGGGGACACGGCACGGGGGACAGTGACACCCGGGTGGGGCCATGGGGATGGGGGGGACAGTGACAGTGACACCCGGGTGGGGCCCTGGGGGGGGGACGGGGACAATCCCCCCATTGTGCGGCAGCGCCCCCGCCCCTTCCCCCCCTCCCCAATAGCGCGGGGTGGGTGACAGTGTGACAATGGCCCTTTGTCACCGGCGATGGGGACACCCGGGGCCACCAGCCACGGCCCGGGGCCGTGGGGACGGCGACACGCGGGGACGGCGGCACGCGTGTGGCGTGTGCCCCCCGCCCCAAAAACCCAAAACGGGCGCGGTTTGGGGAGGGGTCCGCGCCCCTCCCTCGGCCGGCGTGTCCCCGCAGGTGCCACCCGCGAGTGACGCCGTGTCCCCAACGGAGCGTGCGACACCGAGGGGAGTGGGGGGGGGTGGGAACTGGGGGTGGGGGCGGCACGGGAGGGGGATGGGATGGGATGGGGGGGATGGATGGGAAATGTGGGGGGGGGATCCCCGCAATCCCCCTCCCCAAATCCCCCCCCCCACCCCGTTCCTACCGTCACCATGGTGTCACCGGGCGGGGGGGGGGCCCCGCACGGCCCCGAGGGCTCGGGGGGCCCGGGGGGAGGCCGGGGGGGCTCCGGGGGTCGCGGCGGCTCCGGGCGCTGCGAGCGGCGGCCCCGGCTCGGTCCTTTAAACGTCCTTGGGCGGGCGCGGGGCGGGGCCCCCCAAAAACCGCCCCCCCCAACACCACACCCCCCTCTACCGAGATGGTTCCGTCCGCGCCCCCCCCCTCCCAAAAAGGTGGGTCCGACCGTCCCCCCCCCAAAAGGTGGGTCAGCCCGACCGTTCCCCCCCCAAAGGTGGGTCCGACCGTTCCCCTCCCAAATAAAGGTGGTTCCGTCCACGCCCCCCCCCTCCAAAAGGTGGGTCCGACCGTTTCCCCCCCTCCCCAAAAAGGTGGATCAGTCCGCCCCCCCCAAAAAAACAGACGGGTTGGGTCAGTCCGCCCCCCCCCCCCCCCCCAGGACAAGAAGCCCCCCGAGACCCCCTAGGCCCCGCCCACGGGACGAGGAGGAGGAGGAGGAAGGACGGGGAGGGAGGGAGAGGAGGAAGAAAGAGGGAACGGAGGAGGAGGAGGAGGAGGAGGAAGGAGCGGAGAGCGCAGGAAGGGTGGGGGGGGATGGAGGAAGAGGAGGAGGAGGAAGGACGGGGAGGAGGAGGAGGAGGAGGAGGAGGAGGAGGAGGAGGAGGAGGGCGATGAAGGCCGCGGGCGCCGCTTCAGCACCGGGGACAGCGCCGGGAGCGAGCGCAGCTCCGCGAGGGGCGGAGACCCCGAAATGGGGAGGGGGCAACGCCGAGGGACCCCCCCAGACCCTCCGGGACCCCTCAATATCCCCCCAAAAACCCTCAGGGACCCCCCACACCCCCCCGAGAACCCCCCCCCCCCCCCCAAAACCCTCCCAGATCCCCCCCCAAAAAAAAACTACATCACAAAAATTCCCGATTTTAATGGGGGGACTGGGGGTGGTCCCGGGGGGGGCACAGACCCCTCCTCAGCCCTCCCGGGACGCCCCCCCACCCCCCAAAAACCCTCAGGTGTCCCCGGGGAAGGGGGGGGGAGGGGTGACAGGTGACAATAAAGGAAATAAATAAATAAATAAATAAATAAATAAATAAATACATAAATAAATAAATAAATAGTGAGGGGGGAGCACAGGGTCACCTGGGGGGGGGGCACAGGTGAGTCCGGGGGGGGGGGGGGGGGGGTTCCCAGGGTTTGGGGGGGGGGTCCCTGGGTGAATCCAGGTGAGTCCAGAGGGGTCCCAGGTGAGTCCAGGCGACTCCAGGGGGGCCCAGGTGATTCCAGGTGTCCCGAGGAGGTCCCAGGTGAGTCCAGGTGCCCCGGGGGGGTCCCAGGTGAGTCCAGGTGCCCCGGGGGGGGTCCCTATGTGCCGCGGGGCTCGGGGTGCCCCTGCAGCCCCCCGTGTCTCCGCATGTGCCAGGTGAGGGAGGCGCGCTGGCGGCAGCGGAACCCGCACACCTCGCACCTGGGGGGGCAGGTGAGTCTGGGACCCCTCCCCTCACACCTGGGGGGGGCCAGGTGAGCCCGGGACCCCTCCCCACCCCGTCGGGACCCCCCCTCACTCACTGCAGGGGTCTCTCCCCCGTGTGCGTCCTCCTGTGCACCTCCAGGTGGTTCCTGCGCTTGAAGGACCTGGCACAGGTGGCGCAGGTGAACTCCCGCACACCTGGGTGGGCAATGGGGGGGGCAATGAGAGGGGGCAGCAGGGAACGCCCCGTGCTGGGGGGGGAGGGTTTGGGGGGCACAGCACACCTGGGGGGGCACAGCACACCTGGGGGGTCTCACCTGGGGGGGTCTCACCTGGGGGGGTCTCACCTGAGTGCTCGGCCGTGTGGCGCCGCAGGTGCTTGGCCAGGTGGAAGCTCCTCCCACAGCCGGGCTGGGGGCACACCTGGGCACGGGGCCGGCGGTGCACCTGGCGCAGGTGAGTCTGGGGGGGTCACACAGGTGAGGGGGGCCCGGGACAGGTGAGGGGGGGTCCAGGACAGGTGAGGGGGGATCCGGGACAGGTGAGGGGGGTCTGGGACAGGTGAGGGGGGGTCCGGGACAAGTGAGGGGGGATCCGGGACAGGTGAGGGGGGGTCCGGGACAGGTGAGGGGGGTCTGGGACAGGTGAGGGGGGGTCCGGGACAGGTGAGGGGGGTCCGGGACAGGTGAGGGGGGTCTGGGACAGGTGAGGGGGGGATCCGGGACAGGTGAGGGGGGGTCCGGGACAGGTGAGGGGGGGTCTGGGACAGGTGAGGGGGGTCTGGGACAGGTGAGGGGGGGTCCGGGACAGGTGAGGGGGGGTCTGGGTGTGTGTCCCCCCCCACCCCCAGGTACCTGCACGCTGCCGAGGGTCCCGAACACCTGCCCACAGGTGGGGTGGGGGCAGCTCAGGGGCCCGGGGGGCTCCTCGGGGGGCTCTGGGGAGGGGGCTCGGCCCCTTCGGCTGCGCCGGGGCCTGCGGGGCCTGCTGTGAGACCCCCCCCAAAACAGGTGTGGGACAGGGCACAGAGCGGCTCACCTGAGCCCCCTGAACCCCTCCCCAAAAAAAACTCCCCAAAACTCCCAAATCCCCCCAAATAAAACAGTCCCGGAGCCCCAAAACACCCCCAGGGCCCCCAAAACCTCCCCAGGGACCCCCAGGACTCCCTAAACCCCTCCAGAGCCCCCCAGGGACCCCTTGAACCGTCCCAAGGACCCCCAAACCCCCCATAAACCCCCCATAAACCCCTCCAGGGACCCCCTGAACCCCCAGAATGACCCCCAGGGACCATCAAAGACCCCAAAGCCCCATTAAACCCCCCCCGGGCCCCCCAGGACCCCCTTAAACTCCCCTAACAACACCTCAGGACCCCCCCAAACCCTCCCAAAGGCCCCCCATAGCCCCCCATGTGCCCCCACCTCTCGGGCTCCGTGGGGATCTCGTAGATGATCGCCGACCCCTCGGGCTCCTCGGCTGGGGAGGGGTCCCGGGGGGGCTCCGGAGGGGGCGGCGGCTCCTCCTGCTTCAGCCTCAGCAGCGGCTCCTCCTCCTCCTCCTCATCCTCCTCTGCCATTGGTGCGGCTGGTGAGACCCCCGGGACCCCCCCCCAGATCCCCAATTCTCTCCGTCCCAGTGCTGAGCCCTAAACCCACCCCCAGACCCCAATTCTGACCCCCAATTCTGACCCCAAATCTTTCCCAACTCCTGACCCAAACCCCCGTTCGTGACCCCAAATCCCCATTTCTGACCCCAAACCTTCCTCCATCCCATTCCTGACCCAGTCTTCCCCAAATTCCCCCAATTCCCAACCCAAAACCCCCAATTCTGACCCCAAACCTCCCATTCCGGACCCAAATTCTCCAATTCCGGACCCAAATTCTCCAATTCCTGACCCCAAATCTTCCCCCATTCCTGACCCAAATCCCCCACTCCTTACCCAAATTTTCCCATTCCTGACCCCAAATCTTCCCCAATCTACCCCAAACCCTCCCCAAATTTCCCCATTCCCGACCCAAACCCCCCATTCCTTAACCCAAATCTTCCCCAATTCCTGACCCAAATCTTCCCCAAATTTCCCCATTCCCGACCCAAACCCCCCATTCCTGACCCCAAATCTTCCCCAATCTACCCCAAACCCTCCCCAAATTTCCCCATTCCCAACCCAAACCCCCCAATTCCTGACCCCAAATCTTCCCCCACCCCCCCATTCCGAGCCCCCCACCCCATCATTTCCCCCTCACCTGTCCTGCCCTGTGCCTGTGCCTCCTCAGGTGTGCTGGGCGTGGCGAAGGCGCCGCCCCCCCCTCCCTGCAGCAGCACCTGGAGCCCCCCCGGGCCGGGCTGGAGCCCCCCCAGGCCGAGCCCCCCCTCCTGGAGCCCCCCCAGGACCCCCCCCAGCAGCAGCAGCGTGGTGGGCGGGGGTCCCGGGCCCCCCCTCAGGATGGGCAGGGGCAGGCACAGCACGGCCTCCAGAGCCTCGGGGGGGGGCTCGGGACCCCCGGGCGGGGGCGGGGGGGGCGCGGCGGGACCCCCGCCCGGGGCTGGAGCGGCCTCAGAGCCCGAGCTGCACGAGGAGGAGGAGGAGGAGGAGGAAGAGCCGGGGGCTGTGGGGGCAAGAGGAGAGTCAGGGGTCAGGGGGAGGGTCAGGGGTCAGGGGTCAGGGGGACGGTCTGCCCCCCGGGTCAAAATCCCCCTGGAAACCCCAAAAATGGCACGGAGCACCCAAAAACATCGAGAGTCAAAACAGCCTAAAGAGAACTTGGGTTGGCCCTAAAGACCCCCAGACTGCCAGAGCCCAAAAGCCCCAGACCCCCCAAACCCCACATCCCCCAAACCCCACATCCCCCAAACCCCCCAAGTCCCCCAGAGCCCAAACCCCAAACCCCACACACCTCCCCACAGCTCAAACCCCACGTCCCATACGGCCCCCAGACCCCAAACCCAACACACCCCACACCCTAAACCCCCTATACCCCAAACCCCACACGGCCCCCAGACCCCAAACCCAACACCCTAAATCTCCCAAACCCCACATCCCCCAGACCCCAAACTGCACACAGCCCCCAAGCTTCACACCCCCCACACCCCAAATCCCCCACTCCTCAAACTCCCCAGACCCCAAACCCCCCACACCCCCCAAACCCTCCAAACCCCACATCTCCCAAACCCCACACCCAAAGCCCCAAATCCCCCAGACCCCAAACCTCACACACCCCAAACCCGACGCCCTAAATCTCCCTGACCCCAAACCCCCCACACATCCCCTGACCCCCCAAACCCCCCGGGACCCCCCAGGACCCCCCAGTCCTCACCATCCTCGCCCTCGGAGCCGCTCGGGGCCCTCAGGGGCGGGTGCAGGTCCTGGAAGTAGCGGTGCCCGCGCTCGCACTGCCACACGGCCGTGGTGAGCAGCCCCAGCGCCGGCTCCAGCTCCGCCAGGCGCGGCTCGTACGGGCAGCGCTGCCCGTGGTCCTCGTACCACAGCACGGCGTGCCGCAGGCAGTTCACGTTGCGCCGGCGCCCTGCGGGGGCAGGGACCCCCAGAGAGATATATGGGACCCCAAATTGGGGCATGAGCCCCCAAAGTGAGATACAGCCCCCCCAAAGTGGGGTACAGCGACCCCAGAGCGAGGGGCAACGCCGCCCGTACCGCAGCACGGTGTGCCGCAGGCAGCTCACGTTCCTGCGGCGCCCTAAATGGGGGCACGGGGCGAGGGACCCCCAAAATTGGGGTACGGGACCCCCAAAGTGACGTACAGGCACCCCAGAGTGGGGCACAAGCACCCCAGAGCCCCCCAAAGCCAGGCACGGCCCCCCAGCATCAAACACTCACGTTTCTTGCGCTTGGGTTTCTTCGGGAGCTGCTCCCAGGGCTTGCTGTGGGCAGAGAGGGGATGGCAGAGAGGGGAAGGGCCCCCGGCCTTTGTCATCCTCCTCCTCCTTCTCCTCCCCAACCTTTCTCCTCCCTCCTCAGGCCAACCCTTCTCCTTCCCACCGCCTTCCTCCTCCTCATCCAGCCCCTCGCTTCCTTCCTCGGCCCTCGTGCCCCCAGCCTTCCTCCTCCTCCTCCTCCTCCTCACTCTGCCCGTTCTTCATCCCCCAGGAGCGCGAGAAAGAGCAAGGAGAGGCGGGAGAGGAAGAGGGACGGGACAGACGGGAGGGGACGAGGAAGAGGAGGCTGAGGAGGAGGAGAACGAGGAAGAACAGGAGGATCGAGGCCGGTAACCCGCCCAGCGCCGCTCCAGCACCGCGGACAGCTCCCGCCGCTCCCGCCGAGCCCCGGGCCCGCTTGGGGGGACCCCGACAGCGACCCCCGCCCCCCCGAACCCCTCCGGGACCCCTCCCCACGCCCCCAGCGCCCCCCGCCCCGGCTCCCCCCGGCTCCCCCCGCTCACCCGCGCCGCCCGGCGCGCTGGCCCCGCTCCAGCCCCAGCAGGTAGGCCGCCAGCTTGGCGTCGCTCCATCCGCTGCGGCGCCGCAGCTCCACCCAGGGCCCGTGCGCCTCGCCCAGGTACACCCGCCGCACGTCGTACTTCTTGCGCGACTCCAGCCGCCGCCGCGCGCGGTCCGTGTCCGTCAGGCGGGGCCGGCCCCGCGCTTTGCGGCCCCCGCCGGGCTCGGGGCCCGCCCCGGGACCCCCGGGAGCCGCCCCGGGACCCCCGGGAGCCGCCCCGGGCCCGCCGGGGCCGCGCTCGGCCGCGCTCATGCCGCGGCGCGCTGGGATGACGTCACGGCAATGTCGCGTTATGATGGTGTCAAGGCGGCGGCGTCGCGGCGCGCGCTGCGCATGCGCCAAACCCGCTCTGCCCTCAACTCCCGCCCGGATTTTGGGGAGGGGGCGCTGAGGGGAGGGGGGACCCCAAAGTTGAGACCCCAAAGGGGTCCTGGGGAATCTGAGCCCGACCCGGGACCCCCGGGTGTGAGGGGTGGTGGTGGCGCAGCTGAGGGACCGCAGCGGGTCACGGGGGACCCCCCAAGTGCCCCCCAAATTCACTGAGCACCCACCAAGAGACCCCCCAGAGTCACCAAGAACCCTCCAAGCTTACTGGAGACCCCCTAAACAAAGCCCAGAACTCACTGTGGACCCCCCAAATTCACCGGGACCCCCTAAACTCACTAGAGACCCCCAAACTCAATGGGGACCTCCCAAAGGGACCCCCAAACCCACCCAGAACCCACTGGGTTTGGGGGCCGCAACACTGGGAAGGGGAATTGACCTCTGAGCACCCCCAAATCCCCCCCCAGATCCCCCAAAATCCCCCCAAAACCCCCCGAGACCCCTTCCCAGCACCCCCAGCACCTCAAAATCCCCCCAAAAGCCCTCCCGAGACCCCTCCCCATCACCCCCAGACCCCCAAAATCACGACGCCCTCTCTCCATCACGCACCCCCGTTTATTCCCCTCTGTTTTCGGGGGTCTCTCCCCCCGGCTCCCGCCCCTCGGGGGGCTCCAGCCCCGTTCCCGGGGGGCTCCCCGGGCCCAGCCGGGCCCTCGGTGGGGGCTCAGCCCCCGTGTCCAGCCCCGGTGTCAGGCGGAAGATCACCGGCGTGTCGGCCAGGGCCGGGTTCCGCTCCTGCAGCGCCGCGATCCAGCGGGCCAGGGCCGGGCGCGGGGCCCCCCCCGCCACGCACAGCGCCAGCACCGGGCCCTCCTCCGCTGGGGGGGGGCACAGGGGGTCAGGGGGGGCGCGGGGAGAGCCCAGAGCCGCCCCCGACCCCTCCCCAAATCACCTCTGTCCACGGCGTGGAAGTCGTCGTCGTCCCAGGGGCCGCGCTCCAGCTCCAGCTCCAGGTGCAGGGGGAAGTAAAAGCTGCGCTCGGGGTCCGGGGGGGGGTCCTGGGGGGCAAAAAAGGGGGGTGGGAGGGGGGCTGGGGGGCTGGGATGGGCTGGGGGGTCCCAGGAGCTGCCCAGGACCCCTCAGGATCCCCCCATGACCCCTCCAGACCCTCCCACAGGACACCCCCATGACCTCTTAGGATCCCCCCAGGACCCCCTATGACCTCCCCGGGACCCCCAGGACCTCCCCCCATATCCCTCAGGCCCCCCCAGAACCCCAATGACCCCCCAGGACCCCCCCAGGCCCCCCCCAGAAGCCCCCCAGGACCCTCCCATGACCCCTAACCCCTCCAGGACCCTCTCAGAACCCCCCATGACCCTCCAGAACCCCCCAGGACCCCCTTTAGGCCCCCCTATGACCCCCTAGGACCCTCCCAGGACGCCCCAGGCCCCCCCAAAGTCCCCCCATAACCCCCCCATGACCTCCCAGAAGCCCCCCAGGACCCCCCGACTGACCCTGATGTGGGGGGGCAGGGGGTCCCCCCTTAGCACGAAGTATTTGAGGAGGGTCCCGCGGAGCCAGAGCGGGAACGGCCCCTCCACGAACACCGGGCGGGCGGGGCCGTGCAGGGCCAGCAGCTCCTGCTGGTCTGGGGACTGTGAGCCTGGGGACATTGGGGACAGTGGGGACATTGGGGACATGGGGACAGTGGGGACATTGGGGACAATGGGGACACCGTGCAGGGCCAGCAGCTCCTGCTGGTCTGGGGACTGTGAGCCTGGGGACATGGGGACAGTGGGGACATGGGGACATGGGGGACATTGGGAACATGGGGACATGGGGACACTGGGGACATGGGGACAGTGGGGACATTGGGGACAATGGGGACACCGTGCAGGGCCAGCAGCTCCTGCTGGTCTGGGGACTGTGAGCCTGGGGACATGGGGACAGTGGGGACATGGGGACATGGGGGACATTGGGAACATGGGGACATGGGGACATTGGGGACATTGGGGACATGGGGACAGTGGGGACATTGGGGACAATGGGGACACCGTGCAGGGCCAGCAGCTCCTGCTGGTCTGGGGACTGTGAGCCTGGGGACATGGGGACAGTGGGGACATGGGGACATGGGGGACATTGGGGACATGGGGACATGGGGACATGGGGACATTGGGGACATTGGGGACAATGGGGACACCGTGCAGGGCCAGCAGCTCCTGCTGGTCTGGGGACTGTGAGCCTGGGGACATGGGGACAGTGGGGACATGGGGACATGGGGGACATGGGGGACATTGGGGACATGGGGACATGGGGACATTGGGGACATTGGGGACAATGGGGACATGGGGACATTGGGGACATTGGGGACATTGGGGACATGGGGACATTGGGGACATTGGGGACAATGGGGACATGGGGACATTGGGGACATTGGGGACATTGGGGACATGGGGACATTGGGGACATTGGGGACATGGGGACATTGGGGACATTGGGGACAATGGGGACATGGGGACATTGGGGACATTGGGGACATTGGGGACATGGGGACATGGGGACATTGGGGACATTGGGGACACCAGGCAGGGCCAGCAGCTCCTGCTGGTCTGGGGACTGTGAGCCTGGGGACATTGGGGACATTGGGGACATTGGTGACATAGGGGACATTGAGGAAAATGGGGGACATGGGGACAGTGGGGACATGGGGACATTGTGCTGGGCCAGCAGCTCCTGCTGGTTGGCGCTCTGACAGCCTGGGGACGGTGGGGACAATGGGGACAGCCAACCCCAAACCCAGGGACCCCAAACCCTTCACAGAGACCCTCAGGGAACCCCAAAACCCTCCCAAGGGACCCCAAACCCACCCCAAGCCCCTCCAGGGCACCCCAACATCCCCAGCACTCACTGATGATGAAGGGCTGGACGGAGCCTTCATCCTCCCCTGAGTCCGGCACTGGCGCCTGCGGGACAGGGACGGGGACAGGGACAGGGACAGGGACAGGGGTCACTGCAGGGACACCTCTGTCCCCTCAGCTGAGTCCCCGCAGTGTCCCCACCTGGATGAGGGTGACAGTGGCCCCAGGCTCAGTGTCCCATGTGTCCCTCCATGTCCCCGTGTCCCTGTGTCCCTGTCACCTGTATGACACTGATGACGGCCCCCGGGTCGCAGGCCATGCGCTGCAGCCCCTGTGTCCCTGTCCCCATGTCCCTGTGTCCCTGTCACCTGTATGACACTGATGACGGCCCCCGGGTCGCAGGCCATGCGCTGCAGCCCCGCAGTCAGTGTCCCCCCATGTCCCTGTCCCCATGTCCCTGTGTCCCTGTCACCTGTATGACACTGATGACGGCCCCCGGGTCGCAGGCCATGCGCTGCAGCCCCAGCCGTGCAGCCTCCAGCCCGGGGGGCAGCGGCCGGGGGGGCTGCGGGTGGGGGTCCAGGTGCCGCATGCGCGGCAGCCAGAACTGCATCCGCTGCAGCTTCCGCATGGGCCGGCTGCGCGGCCCAAACACCCCCAGCAGCAGGAACCGCGTCTCTGCGTCGGGCATCACACCTGGGGGGACATTGGGGACAGGTTAGGGACAGCCTGGGGACAGCAGGGACACATTGAGGGGACTGGGGGTATTGGGGACACATTGGGGTAACAGCAGCAGGAACCGCGTCTTGGTGTCCGGCATCGCCCCTGGGGACACGGGACAGGTTGGGGACAGCAGGGACACACTGGGGACAGCGGGGATATTGGGGTGACGGCAGCAGGAAGCGCGTTCCAGTGTCCGGCATCACACCTGGGGACAGCAGGGAAATGGGGGATGTTGAGGGGACGGGTGACACAGGATGGGCATGAGGGGACATGGGGGGAGAGACAAGATGAGGGACACCAGGGACACAACAGGGGGGACACCTGGGGACAGCAAGCAGGGCACACCCAGCAGCACGGGTGGCTGAGGCGTCCCCGGTGTCGCAACGCAGAGCCACACGCACACGCAGATCTGTCCTGTGTCCCCCGTCCTGGCTGTCCCCTGTCCCTATCCCCAGTGTCCCCAGTGTCCCCAGCACTCACCGTACTGCTCCATCTGCTCGAGCAGGCGCAGCCCGCACTCCTGCTGCCGCGGGAACGGGAACAGCAGCCTCTGCACGGGGCCCCGGGGCACCCAGGCGCCGCGGGGCAGCAGCCGGAGCAGCGCGTTGTAGGCGCCCAGGCTGCGCTCGGCGCCCAGCGCGGGCAGCGCCGCCAGCGCCGCCTCCACCAGCGCCAGGCGGCCCCCGCGGCCCGGCGGGGCCCGGCACAGCTCCCGCAGCGCCGCCTCGAACGCGGCCCCGGGGTCGGAGCGGCCGCCGGTGCCGCCGGTGCCGCCGGTGTGGGTGTGCTCGTGGTGCGACCCGCGGGAGCGGAGGAGGCGGCGCAGGGGGGGCTTGGGGGTGGCACCCCCTGAAGTGTCACCCCCCGAGGTGTCGCTCCCCGCGGTGTCGCCCCTCGGGCCGTCGCCCTCGGCGGGGTCGCGGCTCGGGGCTCTGCGAGGTTTCGGGGTGCCCTCGTTGGTGTCGCTCCCCTCGGCGGGGACACGCGCGGGGCGCTGGCACAAACTGCGGCAGAGCTGGGGAAGGGGAAAAGGGGTCACACCATGGCTGTGTCCCCGTGTCCCCCCTGTCCCCGTGTCCCCCCCTGTCCCCGATGTCCCCCCGTGTCCCTCCCGTCCCCTCGCTCCCGGTGTCCCCCCCGGTGTCCCCCTCACCTCCGGCGCTGCGGGGCCGCCCCAGAGGCGGCGGGGCAGGGCGCGGAGCCAGCCCAGCCTCATGGCGCCTCTGTCCCGGTGTCGCCGCTATCCCGGTGTCCCGGTGTCGCCGCTGTCCCCTCACGGCCGGGCCCCGCTGTCCCCACGCCGGGTCGCACCTCTGGGCGCCGCCATCTTGGCCGGACTAGTGGGAGGGGCTTGCTGGGGACAGCCAATCACCGCGCGGCTTTTCTCGGCGGGAGCGGTGATTGGCAGACAGCGATGGGCGGGGCTCAGAGGGGGTTCCCCCGTGACGTCAGCGCGGGACCCCGGGATGAGCTCAGAGACGGGGAATCGGCGGTGACGTCACGGGCGGTGAACGGTGATGTCAGAGCGGCCCCGGCAGCCCCGGCGGGGGGGGAGAGGATCCCGAAATCCCTGGGGGGGCTGGTGGGGGGGTCCCGGTGTCCCCCCAGCCCCCGGGGGAGGGTCCTGGAGGTCCGGGGGGGGGGGAGGGGACGGCCCGGGGAGGGGGAGGGGCAGGAGGGGGAGGGGGGGAGGGGGACATTCCCCATCCGTGACGAGCCGTGTCCCCCCCCGGGGGGGCGGCGGAGTCCGATCCGGTGACGGCACCGGGAGGGAGGGGGGGCAGGAACCGCGCTGTCCGGGGGGGTCCCGCTGTACCGGGGGGGTCCCGGGAGCGCGGGGAGGAGACCCACGGTGCCCCGGGGGGGTCCCCGGAACCGCGGGGGGGTCCCCGGGGTCCTGAGGGGGGTCCCCGCTCCTGGGGGCGAGTACCGAGGTGAGCGCGGGGGGGACCGGGGTGTGCGGGGGGGGAAAAGCGGATTTGGGGCGGGGGGAGCTGTTCGGGATTCCCCTGCCCCCCCCCCCAGGATCCCCCCCCCTCCGGGATCCCCCCGGTAAATGTGGAAAAAATGACGCCATCACCCGCCCCGCCGTGACGTCAGCGCGGCGGAGGGCGCGGATTGGCTGCGGCCGGGCCGGCCCGGGGGGGGCTCCGCGCCCACCGCCCACTTTTAAAAGTGGCGGCGGCGGCGCCGGGACGGGACCGGGAGGAACCGAGCGAGGGCACCGAGCCGAGCCGAGGGCAGCGACCCCAGCCGGGACAGCCCCGAACCCGCCCGGGACAGCCCCGAACCGGCGCCACCCGCCCGCAGCGACCCCCGCGCCGCCACCGCGACCCCCGCGCCCCCCGCGCCCCCCGCCATGTCCAACGCGCACTTCAACCGCGGCCCGGCCTACGGGCTCTCGGCCGAGGTGAAGAACAAGGTGAGCGGCTTCGAACCGGACCGGACCGGACCGGACCGGAGCGAACCGAACCGAACCGAACCGGGGGATCCGGGCAGGCGTCACCCCCATCCCGGGGGGCGGCAGCACCGGGGCCGGGCGGGGGTCGCGGCGGGACCCGGCGGGAGCGGGGGCGGGACCCGGCGCTGTCCCTGGTGCTGCCCCGGGAGGGAAGGGACGGGCACCGGGCACCGGCACCGGGCACCGGCACCGGGCGGCGGCACCGGCGGGTTCCCCCGGGGGTCGCACCGGGCGCCGGTTCACCGGGGGCGGCGGCGTTGGGAGCTCCGCAGTCCCCGGTGCCCCCGGTAAACGGGAGGTGACGAGCACCGGGCACCCGGTGCGGGTCACGGAGGGGAGGGGGCGACACCGGGGGTGCCCCCGTGAGCACCGGGGGGTCCCGGCGGGCACCGGGCCGCTCAGGGTTAACGGCGATCGGGGGTTTGTGGGGCGGGGGGGCCCCCGCAGCTCCCGGTCCCGGCGGGAGGTGACGGGAACCGAACCGGAGCGGGGGGGGGGCACACCGGGACCCCCGGTGGGGCCGGGGAGGGGAGGGGGCGACACCGGAACGGAGCGGGCGGGCCCGGGCCCCCCCCCGAGCCCCCCGGCGGTGCCCGGCCCGGGAAGGGTTAACGGGGGCGGTTCGGGCGGCCCCGCGGCGCGCGGGAGGCGGCGGAGCCGGGACACGGCGGGGGGGCCCGGCCCGGGAAGGGTTAACGGGGGGGGCTCGGCGGGCGGGGGGGGCCCGGCGCCCCCCGGCCCCGCCGTGAGCCCTTATAAGGCGGCGGAGCGCGGCGGGCGGGCGGCGGCGGCCCCGGGCCGGGGCTATATATGGGCAAAGGTTCGGGCGGCCCGGTCTGCGCCGCTCCCGGGGCGGGGGGGCCGCGGCGGGGCGGGGGGGCCCGGGCAGCCCCGGCATTCCCGGGAACGGGAACGGGGAACGGGGCCAGCGGGGATGAACGGGAACGGGGAACGGGGCCCTGTGGGAACGGGGCCAGCGGGGATCCCCGTGCCGCCTCCGCCCCGAGGGTGTCCCCGAAGTGTCACCCCCGCGCTTTGGGTGTCCCCAAAGTGTCCCCCCCGGCGCTTTGCGGTGTCCCCACGGTCCCGTCTATGAGGGGGATGTGTCCCCCTGAGGGTGGCACCGCACGCCTGGCCAGGGTCCCCGCGGTGTCCCCACATCCTCCGTGGCTTCCTGAGCTTGTCCCCCGTGTCCCCACATTGCCCCTGTCCCACTCACACTGTCCCCAAGTCATCCATGGCTTCCTGACACTGTCCCCCATGTCCCCACATCCTCCCTGGCCTCCCGAGATTGTCCCCCATGTCCTCCCATAACCATGAGGGTGCCCCCCACATTCTCCGTGCCACCGTGTCCCCCAACGATGTCCTTATGTCCCCGTGTCCCCTGGAAGTGTCCCCATGTCCTCCTAGCGGTGACCCCGTGCTCCCTCAGCCCCTGGCGCTGTCCCCGTGTCCCCCTGGAGCTGTCCCGATGACCCCGTGTCCCCCTGTCCCCTGGTGGTCGCCCCATGTCCTGTGACATTGTCCCCATGTCCCCGTGCTCTCCCTGGTGCTATCCCCGCGGTGTCCCTGACTGTCCCCTGTCCCCGCGGTGTCCCCGACTGTCCCCTGTCCCCGCGGTGTCCCTGACTGTCCCCTGTCCCCCAGCTGGCTCAGAAGTACGACCCGCAGCACGAGCGGGAGCTCCGTGTGTGGATCGAGGGCACCACGGGGCGCCGGATCGGGGACAACTTCATGGACGGGCTCAAGGACGGCGTCATCCTCTGCGAGTACGGCACGGGGACCCCCGGGACCCCCTGAGACCCCCTGGGAACCCTGGGACACCCCTGGGACCCTCGGGACCCCCCACTTTGTCCCCTCCCTGTGCCCCTAGACCCAGCTCGGGAGGATCCTCCGGGAGCTTTAACCCACCCCTCACCTGGGCTGACCCCTGACCCCTGATCCCGGGGTCACCCCACCTGGGCTGACCCCTGACCCCTGATCCCGGGGTCACCCCACCTGGGCTGACCCCACCAGTGTGACTTCAATCCTGACGGGATCCTGGGGTCACCCCGGGGTCAGCCCACCTGTGTGACCCCACCTGTGCTGTGGGGGTCATGCCGGGCTGGATTTTGGGGTCATCCCGGGGTGACCCCCCCCCCAGCGTTGACTCACCTGTGTGACCTCACCTGTCCCGTCTCACCTGTCCCCCCCCAGGCTCATTAACAAGCTGCAGCCGGGCTCGGTGCCCAAGGTGAACGAACCCGTCCAGAACTGGCACAAGGTGAGGGGAAACCCCAAAACTGGGATATGGCCCATAGTCCCCAAAATTTCGGGCGGGTCTTGGGGGAGGGTTCTGACCCCAAAACTGGGATTTGGGGCAGCTTCCCCAAAATTTGGGGCGGCTCTGGGTGGGCTCCTGACCCCAAACCCGGCCCCAAATCCCCCCGTGAGCAGCTGGAGAACATCGGGAACTTCCTGCGGGCCATCACGCGCTACGGGGTGAAGCCCCACGACATCTTCGAGGCCAACGACCTCTTTGAGAACACCAACCACACCCAGGTGCAGTCCACGCTCATCGCCCTCGCCAGCCAGGTGAGCCCTGGGGGGGTCTGGGGGGTCCTGGGGGGTATTTGGGGTTTGAGGCAGGTATTTGGGGTCTGGGGAAGGAATTTGGGATCCGGAGAGGGGATTTGAGGTCTGGGGCAGGTATTTAGGATCCAGGAAGGGGATTTGGGGTTTGGGAAGGGTAATTTGGGGTCTGGGAAGGGGATTTGGGGTCTGAGGAGGGTATTTGGGGTTTGGGTCAGGTATTTGGGGTCTGGGGCAGGAATTTGGGGTCTGAGGAGGGTATTTGGGGTCTGGGGCAGGTATTTGGGGTCTGGGGAGGGTATTTGGGGTTTGGGGCAGTTATTCAGGGTTTGGGTCAGGTATTTGGGGTCTGGGGAGGGTATTTGGGGTCTGGGGCAGGTATTTGGGGTCTGGGGAGGGTATTTGGGGTTTGGGGCAGGTATTTGGGGTCTGGGGAGGGTATTTGGGGTCTGGGGCAGGAATTTGGGGTCTGAGGAGGTTATTTGGGGTCTGGGGCAGGTATTTGGGGTCTGAGGAGGGTATTTGGGGTCTGGGGCAGGTATTTGGGGTCTGGGGAGGGTATTTGGGGTTTGGGGCAGTTATTCAGGGTTTGGGTCAGGTATTTGGGGTCTGGGGAGGGTATTTGGGGTTTGGGGCAGGAATTTGGAGTCGGGGGGTCCCCGTGAGCCCCCCCAACCCCCCGTGTCCCCTGCAGGCCAAGACAAAGGGGAACAACGTGGGGCTGGGGGTGAAATACGCCGAGAAGCAGCAGCGGCGCTTCCAGCCCGAGAAGCTGCGCGAGGGCAGGAACATCATCGGGCTCCAGGTGACACCGGGGACACCCGGGGGACACCCGGGGGGCATTGGGGGTGGCCTGGGACAGCCGTGACACCATTGTCCCCACAGATGGGCACCAACAAGTTCGCCAGCCAGCAGGGCATGACGGCGTACGGGACACGGCGGCACCTGTACGACCCCAAACTGGGCACGGACCAGCCCCTGGACCAGGCCACCATCAGCCTGCAGATGGGCACCAACAAGGGCGCCAGCCAGGTGGGGACACCTTGGGGACACCACGGGGACACCATAGGGACACTGCCAGCATGGGGACACTGCCACCCCACGGGGGGACACATGGGGACACTGCCACCCAGAGGTGACACGAGGACATGGGGACACTGCCACCCCACGGGGGGACACAGGGACACGGGCAGGGATGGCACCAGGGGACTTCGATGTCGCGGATTAGGGGGACAAATGGCATGGAGGGGACAGAGGGGACAGAGATGGGACACGGAGATGGGACAGAGAGGGGGGACAAAGAGGGGTCAATTAGGGGATGGAGAGGAGACTCAGAGGGGATGGAGAGAGGGGAAAATGAGGGGACAGAGAGGGGACAACGAGATGGGACAAGGAGGGGATGGAAATGGGACAATGAGGGACGGAAAAGGGGACAATGAGGGGACAGAGAGGGGACAAAGGGGGGGTGCAGAGAGGAGAATGAGGGGACAGTTGGGGGGAAATGAGGGGACAGAGAGGAGGGGACAGAGAGGAGGGGACAGAGAGGAGGGGACAGAGAGGGGACAATTAGAGGACAATTAGAGGAAAATGAGGGGACTGAGGGAGGACAATCAGGGGACGGAAAAGGGACAGAGGGGGGACAAAGCGGGACGAAGAGAGGAGAACGAGGAGAGGGAATGGGAAAGGGAAGGAGAGGGGATGGAGAGGGGACAGAGAGGGACAATGAGGGGACAGAGAGGAGGGGACAGAGAGGGACAATGAGGGGACAGAGAGGGACAATGCGGGCACAACGAGGGCACCAACACCCCGCGGGACCCCCGGGCGCCCCCTGACCCCCTCCCGGTGCAGGCGGGGATGACGGCGCCGGGCACCAAGCGGCAGATCTTCGAGCCGGCGCTGGGCATGGAGCACTGCGACACCATGACCATCGGGCTGCAGATGGGCAGCAACAAGGGCGCGTCGCAGACCGGCATGACGGTGTACGGGCTGCCGCGCCAGGTCTACGACCCCAAGTACTGCGGCGGCCCCGAGCTGCTCGGCCTCGACGGCTGCGACGGCCACGGCGGCCTCTACAACTCGCAGTAACGGCGGGCGCCGCCGCCGCTTGCACCGCGACACCGCTGACACCGCCGGCAGCACCGGGACCGGGGACCGATACCGGGGAACCGGGGCTGACGCCGCCGGGGCCGGGACCGGGGAGCCGATACCGGGGGAACCGGGGGAACCGGGGCTGACGCCGCCGGCAGCACCGCCGCGCCCTGCCGGGGCCGGGGCTGCCACCGGGGGAACCGGGACCGGGATCACCGTGTCCCGCCGAGCCAAAACCGGGGCTGGAACCAGGGAACCGGCGCCGGGATCGCTCCTGGGCAGGGGCAGCACCGGGAATTGGCCCCAGGGCAGGGAACGATCACGGGACCGGACACGGGGAGGGGTCGGTGCTGGGGGTGGCCCCGGGATCGGTCCCAGGCTTAGTCCCGGAAACAGCCCTGGCTTCAGTCCCGGTATCAGCTCCGGGAACGGCCCCAGCGGGTTCGGTCCCGGGGGTTCAGTCCCGGTATCAGCTCCAGGATCAGCCCCGGGGGGCTCAGTCTCGGTATCAATCCCGGTATCAGCCCCGGTATCGGTCCCGGGGGGCTCGGCCCCCGCCACGTGTGAAGCCACCGAGGCACAATAAAAGCCACACGCAGAGGTGACAGCGCTGCGAGAGTGAGGGGACACGGGGGGGACAATGGGGGTGACACGGGGGGGACACCGGGGGGACACGGGGGGGACAATGGAGGGGACACCGGGGACACCGAGGGAACACCGAGGCCACCGTCCCGGCCCGTTTATTGCCGCGCTGCTCTCCCCAGACCGGGCGCCACCCCCGGCCCGGTGTCGCCGAGGGGACAGGGACGAGTCACGGGGGCTGGGGGGGGAAATGTCACCGCCACACCGGGCCCGGGGGCGGCACCGGGGACAGGGCCGCGTGCCCCCTCCCGGTGTCCCCTGCCGGTGTCACTGGTTGGCCGCCTCGCAGGCGTCGATCCAGTCGCTGTAAACGTCCACGGGCTCCGACAGGTCTGGGGGCGCCGTTAAGGCTCCATCACGGATTGGGGGGGTCCCGGCGGGGGTCCCGGGGGGTCACGGGGGGCTCCCGGTAAGGATACAGGTGATGGGGGTCTGGAACTCCTCCAGGCACACGGTGCACGAGATCACCCCGGTGTTCCGGGCGCGGTCCCTGCGGGGCACGAGGGGGGCGTGACCCCTCCGGGCTCCGTCCCGAACCCTCCCGGTGTCCCCGTTTCCCCCCCCGGTACCGGCACCCCCCGGTGTCCCGTGTCCCCGTCCGTGTCCCCCCTCTCCGCTTCCCCCCGCATTCCTCCGCCGCCGTTTCCGCGCTGCCGCCCGCCCCGTGCCCCGTCCCCGGTGTCCCCTCGGTGCCCCCCCGGTCCCCGGTGTCTCCCGGTGTCCCCCGCTCACATCTTGACGTCGCAGGACTTCTCGTGGTTGCAGAAGGGACACGTGAACTGCGTCTCCAGCGTCCCCGTCATCTTCTTCTTGGGCGGCGGCTTCCGCTTCGACTTGCGGCGGCCCATGGCGGCCGCACCGGGGCCCAGAACCGGGAACGGCCTCGGGAACGGGAACGACACCGGGATCGGCCCCGGGAGCCGCCTGGGAGTGGCCCCGAGGCGCTGCGGGACGTGCCGGGGGCGGCTCGGCCCCGCCGGTTCCCCTCGGGCCCCTCCCGGTCTCTCCCGGTTCCCCCCGGTCTCTCCCGGTCCCTCCGGCCGCGCTCCCGCCGCGTTCCCGGAAGTGCCGCCCCTCCGCCCTCAGCCAATCAGCGGCAGGAACAACGCTATCTGCCCCACGTGACCCACAACCGCCCCGCTCATTGGTTGAAGGGCGCATTGCCCCAGCCTAACACCAGCGGGGCGCCGAGCGGCGCCCGCGCTGTCCCGCCCACCAGACGGACGCGCGGCGCAGCCAATCAGCGGCGCGGGGGGCGTGACCGTCGCTGCCAGGCTCCGCCCCCCCCTCCCGCGCGGTTTTTGAGGCGAATCGCGGCGGGTTCGGGTCCGGTCAAAGCCTTTATTGGGGGGGGGGCAGTGTACCCCCGGTCAGGGTACCCAAGGGTCAGGGGTCAGGGTCCGGTCCCCGATGTCCTCAGTGTCCCCCCGGGTGAGGGGTCATGGTCCCCAAGTGGTCAGGGGTCAGTGTCCCCAGTGTCCCTCCGTCCCTCTGTCCCCGTATCCCGCTGTCCCCGGTGTCCCCCCTGTCCCGGTGTCAGAGGCGCGGCGGCAGCGTGACGCGGTGCAGGACGCGCCCGGTGCTCTCCAGGAAGGTCACGGTGGCCGCGCGGGGCTCCAGGCGCACGTGCGCGAAGCCGCCGGGGCTCTCGGGGCTCCCGTAGAAGAACCGGAGCGCCCCGGGCGGCACCGAGCGCTCGTGCGGCCGCGACTCCTCCATGAAGTTCCCGGCGCCGCTCAGGACGTAGGCGACACCGCCCTCCTCCAGGTACTGCGGGGGGACAGGGCGGGGTCAGGGGGGACACACCTGGGACACACCTGGGGCTGACGGGTGGGATTTAGGGGGTCCCTGCACACCTTTGGGTGTCCCTGCACACTCTGGGGCCATGCCTCACCTGAGGGCTGTACCCCTGTCCATTCCTCACCTGTCTCACCTGTCCCTGTCCCTCACCTGTAGATTATGATCGTGCCCGCACAGGTAGGCGCTGACGCGGTGCCCCCCTGTCCCTGTCACACCTGTCTGTCCCTGTCTGTACCTGTCTGTCCCTGTCTGTACCTGTCTCACCTGTCCATATCTCACCTGTCCATGCCCGTATCTCACCTGCAGGTTGTGGTCGTGCCCGCACAGGTAGGCACTGACGCGGTGCCGCCGCAGCAGCCGCACCAGGCAGCCCGTGGGGCTCTCTCACCTGTCTGTACCTGTCACACCTGTCTGTACCTGTCTTTACCTGTCTCAGGTGTCTGTCCATGCCCATATCTCACCTGTCCATGCCCATATCTCACCTGTCCATGCCCGTATCTCACCTGCAGGTTGTGGTCGTGCCCGCACAGGTAGGCGCTGACGCGGTGCCGCCCTGTCCCTGTCACACCTGTCTGTCCCTGTCTGTACCTGTCACACCTGTCTGTACCTGTCTGTACCTGTCTGTCCCTGTCTCAGGTGTCTGTCCATGCCCGTATCTCACCTGTCCATGCCCGTATCTCACCTGCAGGTTGTGGTCGTGCCCGCACAGGTAGGCGCTGACGCGGTGCCGCCCTGTCCCTGTCACACCTGTCTGTCCCTGTCTCAGGTGTCTGTCCCTGTCTGTCCCTGTCTGTCCCTGTCTGTACCTGTCTCACCTGCCCATATCTCACCTGTCCATGCCCGTATCTCACCTGCAGGTTGTGGTCGTGCCCGCACAGGTAGGCGCTGACGCGGTGCCGCCCTGTCCCTGTCACACCTGTCTGTCCCTGTCTGTCCCTGTCTGTCCCTGTCTGTACCTGTCTGTCCCTGTCTGTACCTGTCTGTCCCTGTCTCAGGTGTCTGTCCATGCCCGTATCTCACCTGTCCATGCCCGTATCTCACCTGTCCCTGTCCCTCACCTGCAGGTTGTGGTCGTGCCCGCACAGGTAGGCGCTGACGCGGTGCCGCCGCAGCAGCGGCCGCAGCAGCCGCACCAGGCAGGCCGTGGGGCCGTGCTTGGCCACCGACCACACCGGGTAGTGCCCGGCCACCAGCACGAAGGCGTCGCCCGCCGCCGCCTCCAGCTGCGCCCGCAGCCAGCCCAGGTGCGCCGCGGCCGCCGCCGCGTCCCGGGGCCCCGCGGGGCCCGAACCGGCGCCGGCGCCGGCACCGAAATCGTCGCTGTGGCCGCAGAGCAGAACCGAGTCCAGCACCAGCAGCCGCGCCGAGACGTTGGAGCCCGGCAGGTGCAGGCGCAGGCTGTAGTACGGGTGGGGAAAGTGCCTGGGGACAGAGGGGACACCTGGGGACACCTGGGGACACGTGGGGACAGCCCGGGGACACGGGGACATCATGGGGACACTGCGGGGACAGCCCGGCAGGTGCAGGCGCAGGCTCTAGTACGGGTGGGGAAAGTGCCTGGGGGGACATTTGGGGACACTTAGGAAACTTGGGGACATCTGGGGACACTTAGAGACAGTGGAAGGACACCTAGGGACACTTGGGGACAGTGTGGCAACAGCCTGGTGACACGCTGGCACAAGACACAGGGTGTGGTATGGCTGGGGAAAGCGCCTGCGGGATGTGAGGGCACTTGGGGACAGCTGGGGACACTTGGGGACATGCAGGGACATGGCAGGGACATGGCAAGGACATGCCGGGGACATGCCAAGCAGGGCTGGGGACACCCTGTGGGGGCTTGGGGACACCGTGGGGACACCTGGGGACATCCCCAGGGATGGAGGGAGGGGGGGACATTGTGGGGACACCCCGAGGGGACTTGGGGACCCTCAGGGACCCTCGGGGACTCTTGGTGACTTTTGGGGACACTCAGGGACCTTCGAGGACCCTCGAAGGAACTCAGGGACCCTTGGGGACCCTCGGGCACCTTTGGGGACCCCGGGTGACCCGGTGTGCGGCCGTACCAGCGCGGGGAGTGGCGGCTGTAGCGCAGCTGCGCGGTGACATTGCCGGCGTGGTCGTGGTTCCCGGCCATGACGAACCAGGGGACGCCGCGGAGCCCCGGGGACACGAACACGCGCTCGAACGTGTCCTGGGGACAGTGGGGACACCGTGGGGACACTGGGGACACCACAGGGACAATGGGGACACCACAGGCACATCACGGGGACACCACGGGGACACCACGGGGGTACCACAGGGACACCATAGGGGCACACTGGGGACATTGAGGACACCACGGGGACAATGGGGACGCCCTGGGGACCCCGGGGACAGCAGGGGTACCTGGAAGCGCGGGTCCCACTCGTCCCTGACCCCCTCGTAGTAGAAGTTGTCCCCCAGGGCCAGCACGAAGTCCCCCCCCAGCTCGGTGGCCGCCCGGCCCATGGCCGCCGCCGTGGCCACCTGGCGGGGGGTGACAAAGGGGGGCTCGGGCAGCCCCCCCCAGTCCCCCAGGGCCAGGAAGGACAGAGCCCCCCCCGGGGCGCCGAGCCCGGGGGACACCAGCGACAGCAGGGACAGGGACAGCAGTGCCAGCATCTGCGGGGACACGGGGGACATGGGGGTGGCACCGGGGGGACATGGGGGTGTCACATCCCCCCGGTGCCACCAGCGACAGCAGGGACAGGGACAGCAGTGCCAGCATCTGCGGGGACACGGGGGACATGGGGGTGGCACCGGGGGGACATGGGGGTGTCACATCCCCCCAGTGCCACCAGCGACAGTGACAGCAGGGACAGGGACAGCAGTGCCAGCATCTGCGGGGACACGGGGGACATGGGGGTGGCACCGGGGGGACATGGGGGTGTCACATCCCCCCCCGGCGTCACTTGAGGGACTTGGGGTGTCACGACCCCCCCCCAATGTCACCCAGGGGGACATGGGGGGGACACAGGGATGTCCCAGGAGGGTCTGGGGGTGTCACAACCCCCCCCATTTTGTCACTTAGGGCTCCGGGGGTGTCCCCCTCCCCATTGTCACCCCGGAGGGTCTGGGGGTGTCACCCCCTGCCACCCCCTTGTCCCCGCGAGCTCTGGGGCTGTCCCTGTCCCCTCCCCATTGTCACCCTCACGGTCTGGGGCTGTCCCTGTCCCCTCCACGTGTCCGGGGGGGGTCACGAGTGCCACCCTCCCCTTCCCCCGGGGGTCTCACGTGTCCGGGGGGGTCCCCGGGGGTCGCTCTCACCGTCCCGGCCGCGCTGTCCCCGCGCTGTCCCCTCCTGTCCCCCCTCGTGTCCCTTTATGGCCCCAAAAGGGGAAGCGGGGTCGCCTCCCCCGCCCCCCCCCCCGGCCCTGCTGTCACCTGACGGGTCCTGGGGACACTGGGAGGGGGGAGGGGAACTGGGAGGGAACTGGGAGGGAACTGGGAGCACTGGGAGAGCGGGGGGAGGGACAGAGGGGACACTGGGACACGGACAGAGGGACACTGGGAGCACTGGGGACAGGGTGGGGAGGGACAGATGGACACTGGGAGGAAACTGGGAGCACTGGGAGAACTGGGACAGGGACAGATGGACACTGGGAGGGGGTGGGGAACTGGGAGGGAACTGGGAGGGAAATGGGAAACGGGAATCATCTGGAAATTCCCCCAAAATTCCCCAAATTCCCCAAATCCGCTCCAGCCACGGGACTGAGGGACACGGACACGCCCCCCCCCCCCCCCCCACTCCAGGAGGGACCCCCAAAATCTCCCCCAGACCCCCAAAATCCCGCCCAAAATCCCCCCTCAGACCCCCTAAACCTCCCCCCCAAATCCCCCGCCAGGACCCCCAAATGGCCCCCAGGACCCCCCACATTTCCCCCAGGACCCCCACATTCCCCCAGGACCCTCAAATCCCCCCAGATCCCCCAATTCCCCCCCCCCCCAGGCCGTGCCAGGCGCTGCCAGCGGGTATCGACGTTTTTTATTTCCATTTTTTTCTCCTTTTCCGCCCCAATTTTTTTTTTATAATTTTTTTTTCCGCGGTTTTTTTATTTTCATCCCGCGATGGGGGGGGGGGGAAGGGGGCGGGGCAGTGAGGGGGGAGGGGCCGCCCCGCCCCCTGGGAAATGACGTCACTACCACGTGCAGGGGGGGGTGGTGAGGGGGGGGTCCCCAAATTGTGCAACGCTGGTGCGGGCGCGACCCCCCCCAAATATCGGCCCCTCCCCTCCCCCCCAGGGTGGATTTTGGGGCGGGGGGGCCCAAAATGGAGATGGGGGAGGGGGTCGCATTGCCGGGGGGGGGGGGGAGGGGATTGGGGTGGGGGGAGGGGCCCATTGCTGGTGGGGGGGTCCCCAAATGTTGGGGGCCCCCAGTGCTGGTGGGGGGGGCCCCGAAATGGGGGGAGCCCAAAAATTGGGGGGGGGAGGGGGGGGTGTGGTTTATTGTGGGGGAGGGATCCCAAAATCCGGGGGGGGGGGGGGCACAAAGAGTGGGGCGCCCCAAAAGGGGGGGCCCGGGGGATTTGTCCCCATTTTGGGGAGGGGTCGCGGGTGGGGGGGGAAGGCACGCGGGGGGGTCTAAGGCAAAGGCGATTTTGGTCCGTTTGACCCCAAAATCCCGGGGGGGGGGAGGGGAAAGGGGGGAGGGGCCCATCCCACCCCCCCCCACCCGGCCGAAGGTGCAGAAAACCCCAAAAATGAGCGAAATGTCCCCAAAAACCCCCCCCCGTGACCCCCCCGGAACGCGAGCTCGGAGCGAAATGAGCCAAAAACGATAAAAAATAAAAAAATGGGGGGGGGGGGAGCGCCCCCGATGGGGAAAAATGGGGAAAATTGGGGAAATGGGAAAATTGGGGATTTGCCCCCAAAAAAGCACTTGGAGAGCGGGGGGGGCGGGAGAGACCCGAAAAGGGGGGGTTTGACCCCAAAATGGGAATGGGGGGTTTGACCCTTGGGGGGGGCTGGGGAGCACAAAGGGGGGGGGGGTTTGACCCCAAAATTGGGGGTGTTGACCCTAAAATGGGGTTTGACCCCAAAATGAGGGGGGGATCCCCAAAGAGGGGGGGGTTTGACCCAAACCGGGGGGGGAATTGGGGTTTGACCCCAAACTGGGGGGGTTTGACCCCAAACTGGGGGGGTTTGACCCCAAAACGCGGGAGTTTGACCCCGGGGGGGGGGGCGCGGGGGGGGTAATTGCACTTAATTAAAAAATGAGCGGGGGGGGGGGTATAAAAGGGGGGGGTGGGTTGGGTTTGCGGGGGGGGGACCCGAAGGTTGTGGGGGAGGGGTATGGGGGGGGAGGGGTCAGGGGTGTGTTGCCCCCCCTCTCCCCCCATCCCCCCCCTCTCGCTGGCCTGCAGCGAGGGGGGGCCTCCCCGGGCGCGCGCGGTGCGGGGGGGGGGGGTGCTGGTGATTGGGGGGGGGCGCGCGCGGCGGGGGGGGGGGGGGGGGAGGGGCGGGTTTTGATTTTTTTTAATTATTTTTTTGTGGGTTTTTTTGGTGGGGGGTGGGGTTTAAAGGGGTGCGACCCCTCCCTCAACCCTCTGCTTTGCCCCCCCCCCAAATTCCCTCGGGGGTGACCCTGTGTGTGCCGGGGGGGGGGTTGGGGGTTGAGGGGGGGGAGAGGTTATTTTTGGGGGGGGGACACTCAGAGAGGCCGAACCCTCATCCACGTCATGGGGGGGGGCGGACGGCGGCGAGGATGGGGGGGCGGGGGGGGCCGGGTTTGGTTTTGTTGGTTTTTTGGGGGGGTGGGTGTGGGAAATAGGGGGGGGGGGCTGCGGCCTTTTTTTTTTTCTTTTGTTGCTTTTTTTTGTTGATTTTTTGGGGGGTTTTTTTGTGGGGTTTTTTTTTGTGGAATTGTTTTTTTTCTTTTTTTTCCGTTTTTCTCCTTTTTTTTCCGGGCGGTTCTCCTCGTCCGGGGGCGGCGGTCAGAGGAACCAGGACTGGAGGGGGGGGGGGAGAACAAATGGGGGGGTCAGTGGGGGGACACAAACGCCGACCCCCCCCCCCCAGACCCCCGCGATCCCCCAAGGACACCCAAAATCCCCCTAGGGCTGCAGAGGGGGGGTCGGGGACCCCAAAATCCCCCAAATTTGGGGGTCCTGAACCTCCACAAAAATAGATGAACCCCCCCAGGACCCCAAAATTGGGTTGGGGTCTCCAGAGAGGGGGGGGGATGGAACCCCCAGGACCCCCCAAGTGGTTTTGGGGTCGCCCCCGCCCCCCAGGCCCCCCCCAAAAGTGGGCGCGTGGCCGCCCCTCAGGAGGGTCTTGGGGGGTCCCCAAAGTGGGCACATGGTGGGGGGGGTGGGGGCAGCCCCTCCGCCTGGCCACGCCCCCCGCGAGCCCCGCCCCGCCATTGGCCGAGCCGCCGCCGCACCACCGCGCGCAGCCAATGGGATCGCGCGGTGCCGCCGCAGCGCCCCGCAGCCTGCCAAGGCCCGCCGGTGCCAGCCAATCAGCGCCGGCCACGCCCCCTCCCGCCTGGCCGTGCCAGCCAATGGGGTTCCGCTGCGCTCGGCGCGCCAAGCGCTCCCATTGGCTGCCGCCCTGGCTCCGCTCTCCATTGGCTCCGCGCCCCGAGCGCCCGCGCCAGCCAATCAGCGGCCGCAGCTTCAGGGCAGGCAGCCAATCAGCGGCCGCAGCTTCAGGGCAGGCAGCCAATCGGGCCTCGTGCCACGGGGCAGGGGGGGGCCAATGGCGGCCGCGCCGGGGCGGCCTGGCCACGCCCTCCTTTGTCCCCGCGGTGACGTCACTGCAGGGGGCGTGGCCGGGGTGGCAGCCAGGTGTGATGGGGGGGGTCAGGTGGCCAAGGGGGGGGTCAGAGGTCAAAGGGGGTGACCCAGAACTAGAGGAGGGGTCCCAGGTGTGGGTGGGGGGGTCCCAGGTGAGCAGGGGTTCCCCAGGTGTCCGGGGTGGGGTTCCCAGGGTGTGCAGGGGGTCCCCAGATGTCCCAGGAGGGTCCCCAGGTGTCCCGGGGGGGGTTCCCAGGTGTGTCCCAGATGTGTCCCCAGGTTGTCCCAGGTGTGTCCCAGCTGTCCCCAGGTGTCCCCAGGTGTGTCCCAGATGTGTCCCAGCTGTCCCAGGTGTGTCCCCAGGTGTGTCCCAGATGTGTCCCCAGGTTGTCCCAGGTGTGTCTCAGCTGTCCCCAGGTGTGTCTCAGCTGTCCCCAGGTGTGTCCCAGGTGTCCCAGCTGTCCCAGCTCTCCCAGGTGTGTCCCAGCTGTCCCCAGCTGTCCCCAGGTGTGCCGTACCTGCTGCTGGGGCAGGCTCAGAAAGTTGCCGTCGCGGGGTCCGAGGCCGACAAGGCGGGGGGCAGCGGGCGGCGCCTGACGCTGCGAATGCTGCGGGGAGAGGGGGCTCAGCCGGCCCCGCCCCCCGGACAGGTGCGGGCACCCGCCCACCCCCCCGGGCACCGCCCCCACCCCCCCAGGTGTGCCCGGCCCCCCCCCCCCCCGCCCCCCCCACACCTGTACGAGCCCCCCCCCCCCCCCCCCCCAGGTACTCACCTGTGCGGGACCCCCGAGGGGGGGGCCCTCAGGTGCGCCCCTACCCCCCCCGGGGCTCAGGTGGCTCCGGGATCCCCCCCCGCCCCTCCCCCCCCGCGGAAATGGGGTAAAAAGGGGCGGAAATGGCGCAGGAGCCGCTGGAATGACCGGGGGGGGGGGCGGGGGGGGGATGAGCACCGGGGCCGGTGACCGGTGAGCGATGGCGATGATGCAGGTGAGGATGCACGGGCAGCCGGGCCGGGCGGGCACCTCGCAGTCACCTGCTGGCACCTGGGGCACTGTGTCACCTGTCCCCTGCTGCTGGCACCTGATGGCACCTGGGGCACTGTGTCACCTGTCACCTGCTGCTGGCACCTACTGGCACCTGGGGCACTGTGTCACCTGTCCCCTGCTGCTGGCACATGCTGGCACCTGGGGCACTGTGTCACCTGTCACCTGCTGCTGGCACCTGATGGCACCTGGGCACTGTGTCACCTGTCACCTGCTGCTGGCACCTACTGGCACCTGGGGGCACTGTGTCACCTGTCCCCTGCTGCTGGCACCTGATGGCACCTGGGGCACTGTGTCACCTGTCACCTGCTGCTGCTGGCACCTGATGGCACCTGGGGCACCCTGGGTCACCTGTCGGCACCTGGGGCACTGACACCTGGGTCACCTGTCACCTGCTGCTGCTGTCACCTTTGCACCCTGGGTCACTGTGTCACCTGGATCACTGGCACCTGGGGCACTGTATCACCTGTCACCTGCTGCTGATGGCACCTGCTGGCATCTGGGGTACTGACACCTGGGTCACTGTGCCACCTGGCACTTGCTGGCATCTGCTCCTGCCACCTAGGTCACCTTGGTCACTGTGTCACCTGGCACTGGGCACCTGCTGGCACCTGGGTCACTGACACCTGGGTCACTGTGCCACCTGGCACCTCTCACCTGCTGGCACCTGTTACCTGGCACCTGCTGCCAGTCACCACCTGGGTCCCAGGTGCCGCCCTGTGCTGGGGCACCCTGGGGCGGCTTGCTGGCACCAGCCTGGAGCTCCCCAGGTGGCACCTGCCACGCCCTGCGCCCCACAGCTGGGCACCTCTGTACCCTCACCTGCCACGCCCTGCGCCCCACAGCTGGGCACCTCTGTACCCTCACCCGCTCACCTGTACCTTACACCTGGGCACCTGGACCCACACTGGGGCACCTGCACCCCACAGCTGCAGCCACACCTGGGCACCTGCACTCCACATCTGTACCCACACCTGGGCACCCGCACCTCACCTGCCTGCGCCCCCACCTGCCCCCACGGCCGGGGCCCGGCTGCGGGCGCGGGGGGAGCCGTGGGGTGCGGGGGTGGTGCCGGGGGGGTCCCGATGGTGCCGGGGGGGTCCCGGTGGTGCCGGGGGCACTTACGGGGTGCGGGGGGGGGCTCCGCCGGGGGGGGCCGCTGGGGGCTTTGGGCTCCGGCGGGGGCAGGGGCAGGGGTCGGGGCAGGGGGGCCCCCGCAGCCCCCCCGGCCCGGCCCTGCGCCCCGCACGGCTGCAACGAGAACACCGTGACGGACCCCGGGACCCCCGGGACCACCGGGAGGGACCACCGGGACCATCGGGACCCCCGGGACCGCCGGGCGGGGCAGCGGCACCGGCGGGAGGGACGGAGGGAGGGAGGGGCTGGCACGGGGGGGGCGGGCGGGGGTCGCGGAGCGGCCCTGCAGCCCCCGGGGTGCGCCCCAGGTGGGGGCGGCTCCAGGTGAGGGGGTGTCCCCGAGTTTGGGGTCCCCAGGGCGGAGTTCGGGGGTCCCCGTCACCCCCTCTGCATCCAGCGCGGCCGCTTGGTCTCGTTTGCATAGACCCCGCCCCCTGTGGTGTATTTGCATACAGACCCCGCCCCATAAGGGGCATTTGCATAGACCGCGCCCCCTGCTGTGTATTTGCACACAGACCCCGCCGCCTGTGGTGTATTCGCATAGACACCGCCCCCTATGGTGTATTTGCATACACGCCCCGCCCCTATGGTATATTTGCACACGGGCACCGCCCCCTGCGAGACATTTGCATACAGACCCCGCCTTTGAGGTAAATTTGCATACGGACAACGCCCCCTGCGTCTCATTTGCATACACCCCTCGCCTTATTTGCATCTCGCGCACCTACTCGCGCCTCATCTGCATACGCGCCCCGCCTCCTCAGCCTCATTTGCATCCAGGAGCGCGGCCCCGCCCCTCCGGGGGCGGGGTTCCCAGTGTCCCCCGGTGTCCCCGTTTGTCCCCGCGTGTCCCCGGTGTCCCCGCGCCCCCCGGGCCCGTCCCCGCCGCACCTGGGGGCCCTGGGCGGCGCCGTCGGCGCAGACGAACTGCACGAAGTCCTTGAGCGAGTCCTGCCCGTGGTGGTAGCGGATGGTGGGGTGGGCGAAGTAGGGGCTCGACTGGGGCAGGAGGGACCCCGACGGGAAGTGCAGCGCCGAGGCCGAGGCCCGCGGGCTGCCTGCAGGGACCCTCAGCGCCAGCGCGACCACCAGGACCCCTCCCCATCCCCGTCCCGTCCCCGTGCCATCGCGGACCCCCGCCCGCCCTCCCCGCAGCCTCCCCGCCCGCGGTTCCCGCCGTTCCCGCGGTTCCCGCCCGGCCCGGGGGCACCGGGAGCCGCCGCGCGGCAGCTCCGGGCGTGCTGGGGCTCTCACCGGGGCGGACGCCGGCCAGCACGGGCAGGGGGTGGTGGCCGAAGGCCATGCGGGGCGCGGCGCCGTGTCCCGACAGCGCGCTGCAGAAATCCAGCTTGCCCGACTTCTTCAGCGCCGCGGGGCCTGGGCATGGCGGGGGGAAACAGGGGAGGGGGTCAGACCCCGGTACCCCCCGAGACCCCTCCCCAAACCCTCCGGTACGAACCCGCCCTCCCCGGTGCTCCCCCGGCGCCCCCAGACCCTCCCCGTTACCGCCCCCCTCCCCTCCCCATGTCCCCGCGTCCCCCCAGTGTCCCCAGACCTTCCCTGTAACGCCCCCACCACCCTGATGTCCCCTGACGATGTCCCCCCCCCATCGGCCACAGCTGTCCCCGGTGTGTCCCCCCGGTGCCATCGCCCCCCCCCGTGTCCCCCCCCCCCGGTGCCATCGCCCCCCCCCGGTGTCACCGTCACCCCCCGGTGCCATCGACCCCCCCCGGTGTCACCATCACCCCCCGGTGCCATCGCCCCCCCCGGTGCCATCGCCCCCCCCGGTGTCACCGTCACGCACCGGTGTCCACGTCCCCCCCCCAGGGGCCCTGGCTGCTGCCGGGGGCCGGGGACCGCCCCGGGCCGGGGTAGAAAACGTCATCGCCGGGGGCGTCCAGGTCAGCCTCGTCCAGAGCCTTGGGGCGCTTGGGGCCGCTGCGGGGACAGCGGGGTCACCGTGGGGTCGGGGGTCACCTCTGGGGTCGGGGGTCACCTCTGGGGTCGGGGGTCACCTCTAGGACCTCCCAAATCCCGGGGGCTGGGGGTGAACCCCCAAACGGGGGGGGGGGCCGGGCAGGTTCTGGGGGGTCCCAGGGGTTTGTGGGGTGCGCGGGGGAACAGCCAGACCCCAGGGCTGGGGGTGGCCGGGTGGTCCTGGGGGGTGGGAACTCCCCAAAAAGGGGGGGCTGGATGGGGGAGCACCCCCAGAGAGGGGCCTGGGGGGTCCCGGGGGGCCGTACCTGGCGGGGGGGGGTCCCGGGGGGCCGTACCTGGCGGGCGGGGGTCCCGGGGGTCCCGGGGGGCTGTACCTGGCGGGGGGGGGTCCCGGGGGGCCGTACCTGGCGGGGGGGGGGGGTCCCGGGGGGCCGTACCTGGCGGGGGGGGGGGGGTCCCGGGGGTCCCGGGGGGCCGTACCTGGCGGGGGGGGTTCCCGGGGGTCCCGGGGGGCCGTACCTGGCGGGCGGGGGTCCCGGGGGTCCCGGGGGGCCGTACCTGGCGGGCGGGGGTCCCAGGGGCCGGCGGCCCAGCGCCACGGGGCTGATGTTGTAGTAGCCCCCCGGGCTCTCCAGGTCAGCCAGGGAGAAGTTGGGGCCCGACGCCGTGGCCACGGGGGCTGGGGGGACACGGGGGACACGTGGGGGACACACCCACCCACAATGGGGGCACAGGTGGGGGACACACCCACCCACCCAGGCAGCGGGGACACCCCCGTTCCTGTCCCCTCCCCGCGTCCCCCCCGCTCCTGTGTCCTCCTGACCCCCCCTGTGCCATCCCAGGCTCTGTCCCCTCCCCCTGGTGTCCTCGTGGTGTCCCCCGGTGTCCCCCCAGCCCAGACCCCCCTGGTGTCCCCCAGTGTCCCCTCCCCATGTCCCCTTGGTGTCCCCCCAGCCCTGTCCCCCGGTGTGCCCCGGTGTCCCCCCAGGTGTCCCCCCATTGTCCCCCCGGTGTCCCCCCACCCCAGCCCCCCCCCGGTGTCCCCCCCGTGCTGTCCCCACTTACTCTGGGACACCCTCACCAGCTCCGTCACGTTCCAGACCCCCGAGGTGACGAAGCAATCCTGGAAGGTCAGGTGGCCTGGGGACACGGGGGGGGGGGGACACCGTGGGGTCAGGGGGGCAAAGAAGGGGGCGGCAGAACACGGAGGACACTGGGGGACATTGGGGACATGGGGGACGCTGTGGGGCGGTGACAGGACAGGGGGACATGGGGGGACACAGGGGACACTGGCAGGGGCAAGGACAGGAGCTGGGGACACTGCAGGGGGGCACTGAGGGGACACTGAGGGGACACTGAGGGGACACAGGGCGCTGTGGCAGAGGGGGGGACAGCGGGAACACCACAGTGACAGTGAAGACACGGGGAGGGGGGACACAGAGGGCACTGTGGGGACACCGAGGGGACACCAGGGGGATACCGGGAACACAGACGGCACTGTGGGGACACCCGGGGGACACCGGAGAGACTCTGGGGACACAGGAGGACACGAGGGAACACCACAGGGACACTTTGGGGACACCAAGGGACACGGGGGGTGCCACGCACCGTTGGGCAGTGGTTTGATGTCCGCGTCCCCCTGCGGGTTGGCGCCGTCCGATTGTCCCGAATCTGGGCAGGGGGGACACAACCGGGGGGGGGCGGTCAGCCACGGCCCCGGACCCCCCCCGACCCCGCGGTGGCCCCGGGACACGGAGGGAGGGGGGGAGGGAGGGGCGGCCCCGGTGCCGCTCAAGGCCCCGTTGTTCCCGCGGGGTCGCTCCAGGTGACGCCGCCGGTGCCCGCGGCCCCCCCCGGGCCGCTCCCCCCCCCCAGTCCCGGGCCCGGTTTGGGGGGTGTCCCCGCCCCCCCCACCCCTGGGCCAGGTGATGATGATGATGATGATTTGGGGGGGGGGCTGGCACGGGGCCGGGCCGGGGGGGGGCTCGGGGGGGCCGGGGCTGGCACGGGCCGGAACGGGGGGGGGAACCGGGGGGGCCGGGGGGGCTCGGGGGCCGCCGTGGGGCCGGGCCGGGGGCCAGGAATGCGCTCTGGCCCCCCGCCAGCGGGCAGCGCCAACAAAGCGCCCATTGTCTGTGCCGGGCGGGGGGGGCACCGCGCGCCGGGGTAACCCCCCAAACACACACACCCCCCCCGGGTAACCCCCCCAAACACACACACACCCCCGGGTACCCCCCCAAACACACACACCCCCCCCGGGTAACCCCCCCCAAACACACAAACCCCCCCCCGGGTAACCCCCCAAACACACACACCCCCCCCGGGTTACCCCCCAAACACACAAACCCCCCCCGGGTTACCCCCCCAAACACACACACACACACCCCGCGTTACCCCCCCAAACACACACACCCCCCCCGGGGTAACCCCCCCAACCAAACACACACACCCCCCCCGGGTAACCCCCCCAAACACACACACACACACCCCGCGTTACCCCCCCAAACACACACACCCCCCCGGGTAACCCCCCCCAAACACACACACACCCCCCCGGGTTACCCCCCCAAACACACACACCCCCCCGGGTAACCCCCCAAACACACACACCCCCCCCGGGTTACCCCCCCAAACACACACACACACACCCCGGGTTACCCCCCCAAACACACAAACCCCCCCCGGGTACCCCCCCACACCTGGGAACCCCCCCGGGACCCCCATCCCGTGGGACGCCCCCCCAGATCGGATTGTTGGGGGTATCCCCCCCCCACCCACCGGGGCTCCGTTTGTGCCCCCCCCCGGTGCTGACCCCACCGTGTGACCCCGGGGGGGTCAGAGGTCACCGGGGCACGCGCGGGGTCGCGAGATCTCGGCTGGGGGGGGCGCGCGTGGCAGACCCCCCCCCCCCCCCCACGCCCCCCCCCAACCCCCGGGTCCTCCCCCCAGCCCCAAATCCCCTCCAGAGCCATTGGGGGGGGAGGGGTCCCTGCACCCCCCCCTCAGCCCCAGAGCCCCCCCAGCCCCTGCCCGTGACTGGGGGGGGTTCAGGTGCTGCTGGGCAGCTGCGCCCCCCTCCCCCCCCGGGGGTGTCCCCCCCCCACCCGCACCTGCGTCCCCCACACCGAGGGGGGGGAGGGGGAGCAGCACCTGGGCAGCGCCCGCAGCGCACCTGGACCCCCCCAAAGGCCCCCCAGACCGAGCTGCCCGCAGCCCCCTCCTCACCCTGTACGCGTGTGTCCCCCCGCAGCCCCCTCCTCACCCCGCAGCCCCCTCCTCACCCTGTACGCGTGTGTCCCCCCGCAGCCCCCTCCTCACCCCGCAGCCCCCTCCTCACCCTGTACGCGTGTGTCCCCCCGCAGCCCCCTCCTCACCCCGCAGCCCCCTCCTCACCCTGTCCCCGTGTCCCTCCTCCTTGCAGCCCCCCCCGACCAAACCCGTCTCCCCCCCACCATGAGGAGGGGACCCCAATGTGTTCCCAGGTGCCCCCCCGGGGGGGTGGGGGGCAGGCTGGGGGTGCCCGGGGGGGTTTTGGGGGGGGGGTAACACCCCTTGGCACGGGGGTCTTGGAACCGGGGGGGGGGAGCTCTAGGGGGGTCCCGGTACCGGGCGGGGGGCTCAGGGGGGTCCCCACATAGCGGGGGTCCCAGTACTGGGGGGCCCTGAGGGGGGGTGTCACAGCTCGGGGGTCCCAGTGCTGAAGCGGGGGGGCTCTGGGGGGGTCCCAGTACCGGGGGGGTTCTGAGGGAGGGGGGGGTCTCACAGCTCGGGGTCCCGGTACCGGGGGGGGGTCTCTTTGGGGGGGTGTCACAGCTCGGGGGTCCCGGTGCTGACGGGGGGGCTCTGGGGGGGTCCCGGTACCGGGGGGGTCTCTCTGGGGGGCTCTCACGGCCCGGGGGTCCCGGTGCCGGGGGCCGCGGTGCCGCAGAGCGGTTCGGGTGCCAACAGGCGCCGCCATCTTACGCGCGAGGGGGGTTGGCACCGAGCCCCCCCCGGGCCGCGGCAGCCAAAGGGCCCCCGGCGTGGGGAGGGGGCGGGGGGGGCCGCGGGGGGGCCGGCGGGGGGGGCCGGGGCCGCCGGCGGGGCCTCGTGCCGCGCACCGGGGGCACGGTGCCAACCGGGGCCATTTTGGGCGGTGCCGGGTGGGAGCCGCGCTCGGGGGATCGGAGCCCCGGCAGCTGGGCCGGGGGGGGCGGGGGGGTAGGGGGGGCAAAGGGGGGGGCTGGGACCCCCCCGTGGGTGCGCGGGGTCGGGGGTGGGGGCGCGGAGGGGGATTTGGGGAGGGGGGCGCGATGGGCACCCCCAGAGCGGCTCCATCGGCGCCCTCAGCGCCCGCGAAGGACGGGGGCACCGGAGAGACCCAAAGCCCCTGGAACTGGCCCCAGAATTGCCTAAACCCCCCGGATCCGGCCCCAAAATTCCTCAAACCCCGGATCCGGCCCCAAAACTGCCCGAATTCCCCAGGTTCGGCCCTAAAATTCCCCAAACCCCCCAGATTCAACCCCAGATCTGCAGCCGCAGGGACGGGGAGGGTGAGCGCCCGGGCTGGGGTCTCCCCCTGCGTTCACACGCGCGTGCCCCCCACCTCAGCTGCGTTTGCACACTTGCGTGAGCCCCCCATTCCCGTGTCACACTCGTGTGACACCCCCAGCCCCGTGTGTGGCACCAAAACCCCCAGGCACGGGCGCTTGGCACAGCCCTGGCACAGCCCGGTGCCCGCAGCACGGATCCCGGTGCCCGGCACAGCCCCGGTGCCAATCCCGGTGCCCATCCGGTGCCAATGTCGGTTCCCATCCCGGTTCCCATCCCGGTGCCATTCCCGGTGCCGGCACCGGTGCCAAACCCAGCACCCGTCCCGGTGCCAACGCCGGTGCCCACCCTGGCACGCGGGCTTGGCAGGCGGCGCCGGGCGCGTGCGCTGGCACTCGGCGCCGCTTTGTGCGAGCGAGGCCGGGCAGGGACGCCCCGGGCGGGGCCGCGGGGACGCCGGGCGGGGCCGGGCACCGCGCCCGCCGCCGGGATCGGGGTCCGGGGGCTCGGCGGCCCCCCACTCACCCGGCGAGTGCACGAAGTAGGCCAGGTAGAGGTCGAGCTCCTTGATGGTGACGCCGATGTGGTGGGGCTGCACGCAGAGGCCGGGGCTGGCGCACTGCGGCGCCTTGGCCAGGCGCTCGCCGTCCGTGCTCTCCAGCGGGACGCCCTTGAACAGGATGACCATCACCAGGTCCAGGCGCCACACCTTGTCGGCCTGGCGCAGGCAGTCGATGCGGCGGATCTTGCCCTTCTGGTCGGGGTTGGAGAGCACGCAGCACGGCGCCTTCTTGCCGGTGACGGAGAGCACGAAGTCCTCGCGGCACTCGGGCCGGATGTCCTTGCGCAGCTTGGCCAGGAGGCGCGAGGCCCATTTCTGCTTGACCTCCGGCTTCTCGCCCAGCAGCTCGTCCTTGACGGCGCGCTCCTCCTCCTTGGACATCGCTTCTCGTGCTTCTTGAAGTACTTGCGCTTGCGGGCCTGCAGGTTGAACCAGGTGTACGAGAAGGCCCGGACGTGGGGCAGCAGCGCCTCGATGAAGGGGTGGAACTCATCCTGCAGGGAGGGCACAAACGGCACGGGCTGGGCCGGGCCGGGCTGGGCACCACCCGCGCCCGGCCCGGCCCCATCCCCGTCCCGCGGGCACCGGAGATGGGGGATCCCGGCGGTCCCAGGGGGATCCGGCAGTCCCGGCCCCGCGGGGATGCTCCGGGTTCCGGTGCCCCGGGGAAGAGGCGGCTCCCGGTGCCGCGGGGCTCCCGTGTGGCCGGAGCGGGGATGGCTGAGCCCGTCCCAGTCCCGTCCCTGTCCCCGGTGCCACCACAGCCCGGTCCCCGGTGTCACCGCCACAGTCTCATCACCGGAGCCACCACCACAGGCTCATGCCGGTGTTCCCGGTGTCACTGCAGCCTCATCACCGGTACCGCCACAGCCCCGTTCCCGGTACTGCCACAGCTCCATCGCCAGTGCCAACACAGCCCCATCCCCGGTATCAGCACGGCTCCGTTCCCGGTGCCACCACAGCCCGGTTCCCGGTATCAGCACGGCTCCGTTCCCGGTATCACCACAGCCCCGTTCCCGGTGCCACCACAGCCCGGTCCCCGGTGTCACATCAGCCCCGTCCCTCCCCGCTCGTCCCCGTCCGCCTCCCGGTGATGCTCCCGCTGCCGTCGCGGCTCGGCCCCCCGGTCCCCATCCCCAGCGCCGGTCCCTGCTGCCGAGCCAGCGCCGGTGGCACAGATCTCCGTCCCCCAGCAGTCTCCGGTGGCACCGATCTCCGTCCCCGGCAGTCCCCGGTGGCACCGATCTCCGTCCCCAGCAGTCCCCGGTGACGCCTCCGTTCCCCTGCCAGCGCCTCCGCTGCCCTTCCCTTCTCCCCGCTCCCCGGTGCCGCCGGTGCCCGGCCCCTTCCCGGTCGCTGTCGCAGTCCCCGGTGCCCCCGGTGCGCGTCCCGGTGCCCGGCCCCCGCCGCTCCCCGTCCCGGCCCGTCCCGTCCGTACCATCGCGGCGGCTCATCCCGGCCGTCGGCAGCTGCCAGTCGGGCCCCGGCGGGGGCAGAACCGGGGGGCGACAGGCGGGGACGGGGGGAGCGCACGGAGCGGGGGGGAAGGGGTTAACGGGGACTACCGGGAGGCGGGGGCGGGCCCGGGGGTGCGGACGGTGCTGGGGGACTCGCAGGTGTCGGGGATGCCGGTACCGGCGGGATGGAGCAGCGGGGTCCGGGCTGGCAGCGCGGGGTCCCGGTTACCGGCGATGGGGGGCTCCCGGTGCGGGGCTCCGTGCCGGAGCCCGGTGCCGGTGTGCGTGTGCGGGCAGGGGTCCCGGGGTCCCGGTTTTTGGGGGGTTCGGGGGTGTCGCTGTCGGGGGGTCCCGGAGCCGCCGCCGCCGCGGGCGCGGAGCGCGCGGGAGCCACCGCGGCCCCTTTTTGGCACCCGGGACCGGAGCGGGCCGCGGCCATGGGAGCGCAGCGCGCGGGGGGGAGCGGCCTCCCCATTGGCCAGCGCAGAGGGGGGCGTGGTTACATGGGCGTGGTTTGACAGAAGGGGGCGTGGCCCGAAATGGGGGGGGCGAGTGCGCCCCGCGCGTGCAACGGGGGGACACCGGGGGGGGGGAGGGGAGCACGGGGAGGGGGGGGATGGGGAGGGGGGGGGCTGAGACCCCCGGGGGGGGCTTGGCCAAAACCTCGCGGATTCGCCCCAAAAATCCCCGAGCGCGGGGGGGAACGGGGAGGTTTGGGGAGGGGGGGGGGGTCCCGCTGCGGCCCCTCGTGCTCGTGCAAAGCCCTCGTGCAAAAAGGGTCGGGCGAGGACGGCCCCGGGGCCGGGGGGGTTCCGGGGGTCCCGCTCCCTCCCCGGCCGCCCCCGGCCCGGATTTGGCCGCCTGCCCCGGCCCCGCGGCGGCCCCAGCGCGGAACGGCCCAAACCCGACGTTTCTGCCCCCAAAATCCCGGACGCGGCGCTCGGAGCCAACGCTTTTCCCCCTCCGCACCCCCCCGGTAATTAAATCCCTCTGTGCAAAGGAAAGAAACCAAAATTTGGGCGTTTCGGCAGCGGGGCCTGGGCAGCGGCTCAGCCCGGCCCCAAACCTCGCGGTTTTCAACCCAAAGCCGCGGCTTTGGGGAGGTTTTCCTGGGGGGGACGGGCATGGTGGTGACCCCCCCTGGCCCGGGATGCCCGCACAGGACCCCAGGGCCAGGCCCAGCAGCATCTGCTCGGTGCAGGGGGGGCTGGGGGACACCTGGGGCCCCTCCCTGACACCTGAGTGACCTTTTGGCACACCAGAGTGACCCCTCAGGACAGCAGAGTGACCGCCAGGCCAGGCCCGGTGTCCCCAGGCCAGCCCAGGTGTGCGGGGGTCAGCGCCCCGAGCGCCTCCGTCCCCCCCAGACCCGGCACACACAAAGAGCCTCCGGCCCCGCTGCCCCCGCCCTCACACCCGGACCCCTCCCCAACGCCCGGGACCCCCTCCCCAGCACCCGGGGACCCCCGCCCGGCGCGGCCCGGCCAGCACGGAAGGTTCCGGAGGCCCGGGCGCGGGGCGGGCACGCGGGCCGGGGCTCCGGGCGGGGCGGGGGTCCCGGTGCCGAGGCGGGGTCCGGGGCCGGTGCCGCGGAGCCGCGGGGCTGCCATTGGCTGCGCCGGGCCCGCATTGAGCCGCAGTCTCGGGCGAAGCCACGTCGCCGCGTCCGCAGCTGCGAGCGCCCGGCAGAGCGCCAGCGCGGCGGCAGGGGGGGCGGCGCCGGAGCGGGAGGGAAAAGCCCAGAAAAAACAGAAAAGAGGGAAAAAAAAGACAAAAAAAAAAAAAAAAAGGGAAAAATGAGAAAAAAGAAAAAAGAAAAAAAAATCCACCACAAACCGAGCGAGCTGCGCCCCCCCCTCCCCTCTCCCGCAGCCCCCCCGCCCCGGCTGCGCCCGCCCTCCCGCGCCGCTGCCAGCTCCCCCCGGCCCTCGGCTTCGCCGCGAGAGAGAGAAAACAGCCCGAAACAGGCCCCGGCTGCGCCCGCCCTCCCGCGCCGCTGCCAGCTCCCCCCGGCCCTCGGCTTCGCCGCGAGAGAGAGAAAACAGCCCGAAACAGCCGGAATTGCCGCCAAAAATCCCCCCGGCGGCCCCTGCGCCGCTGCCAAGACCCTCCCGTGCGTGCGGAGGGGGGGGAGGGCGGCCGGGGGGGGGGGCGGCGGCTCGGGGGCGTCCTGGACCCCCGAGCGCGGGCCCGGGGGGGCTCGGGAGGGCCCCGGTGCCCGGGGGGGACCTCGGCGTCCAGGTGGCCTCGCACGGAACGCGCCGGATGCTTCTGGCAGGGAACCAGGCGGCCCAGAAGGGGGCTCGGGGGGCACCCTGGCACCGGGGGGATGGGGCTGGCACTGCGGGGGCACCGTGGCACGCTCGGGATGGGATGGGATGGGATGGGATGGGGGCGCTCCGCCGTTCGGGGGCGCGCACGGGAAGCGCCCGCCCGGCCCTGCCCGCGGCCACGTGGAGCGTCCCGGGCGTGCGGGCGGCTCGAGGGGAACCGGAGCATCCGCCCCGCGCTTCCCCCGCTCCCGGCCGGGACCCCGCATCCGGGCCGGGCTCTGGGGGGGGTCCCGGGGGGCTCCGCGCGGTTCGGCCGCGGTTCGGCAGCGCGGGAGCCGTTCCGGGCCGTGCCGGGAGCTCCCCGCGGCCCCGGCCCCGCTCCCGCCCCGGCGCGGACCCCGCGGCCCGGCCCCCGCCGTGGATCGGTGCCAGCCCGGGCCGGGGGGGCCCCGCGCGGCTGCGGCGTCCAAGAAAGCTTTTTGTGGCCCATCAATAATTCAGGGACCCCCGGCCCGGCCAAGGCTCCTCCATTATTGATGCCGCCGGCGAGCGGGGGGACACGGGGAGGGGGACACGGGGAGGGACACGGGGATGGGGATATGGGGAGGGGGACATGGAGAGGACAAGGGGGGGACTCGGGGATGGGGATATGGGGATGGGGACATGAGGGGGACACGGCGAGGGGGACACGGGAAGGGACACGGGGATGGGGATATGGGGACAGGGATATGGGGATGGGGACACGGAGAGGGGGACACGGGGAGGGGGACACGGGGAGGGACACGGGGATGGGGATATGGGGACAGGGATATGGGGAGGGGGACACGGGGAGGACAAGGGGGGGACACGGGGAGGGCGCTGAGCCCAGCACTGCGGCACGGGGGTGCGGGGGGGGCACGCACGGAGCCACGCGTGCCCGGGGGTCGCAAATGGAGCCACACGTGTCCCCCCGTGTGTCCCCCCCTCCTCCGTGTCCCCCCCGTTTGCGGTTCCAGGGGGGGGTTGGTGCCTCCCCCTGCCCCGATTGCATCAGCCACGCACGGCTCGGGGGGCACCGGGGCTGGCACCGGGGCTGGCACACGGCGGGGCTGTGCCACACGCCTGGCACGCGCCCGTGGCACACGCGTGTCACCAATGCGGCTGCCACGTGTGCACGGGGCTGTGGCACACGCGTGTGCGGCTCTGTCCTCGTCACACCTGTGCCTTGTCACACGTGTGTCACACCTGTGCACCATCACGTGTGTCACACCTGTCCCCCGCCACATGCGTGTCACGGATGCACCTTTTCATACATGTGTTGTCCCACCTGTGCCCTGTCACACCCGTGTCACACCTGTGCCACCACGGCTCCTGCCAAGGGCCAGGGACGGGCTCGGCCACCACCCCCTGATGCCACCAGGGCACCGGGACAGGGCTCGGGACACGCCGGTGGTGACAGCCGGGATGGGGACGGGGACGGGCCGGGGGTGGCTCCGTGCGGCGGGGAGGGGACACGAAGGGACACGGGGGGACCCTCAGGGACATGGCAGGGATGCAGAGGGACACAGGGGGACACGAGGGGACACGGGGGTGATGCGGGACACCGCCAGCCACAGCCTGAGGTGTCCCCAAGGAGGCCGGAGCCGCTGCCAGGACACCAGGGGGACACCGGGAGGACACCGCCCGCCGCTGCCCCGAGGCCATCCCGTGCCCGCCCGTTCCACAGCCCCGCTCCGGGCGCTCCCGGCGCAGCCGCTGGCCCGGAATCCGCCGGTGGCACCGGCCCAAAGCCGCCCCGGGGCGGGCGGGGCGGCGCGGGGGGAGCGCCCCGGTACCGAGCGCGGGGCCCGGGGGCGCGGGGGGTCACGGGCACGGGCAGGGGCACACGCGGGGCGCACGCGGGGCACACACGGGGCACACGCGTGTGCGCTGGCGTGTCCCTGGCGCGTGCACACGCGTGTGCGGGGCGGGCGCCGAAGCTGCGAGAAGCGCCGCTGGCCGCCGGCCCAGACGCAACCGGCCGCCAAAACCGCCCCGAAAAGCGGGAGAAAAGGGCAACGGGGGGGGGAACAGCAACGCCCGGCGGGGGCGGCCCCGCAAACCGCCCCGGGGGGGCGCCGGGGGCGTCCCGGGACAGCGCGGGGGGGGCGCGGAGCCCAGCGGGGACCCCCGAGTTGTGCCAGCTCCGAGACGCGGCCGCTGCTGCTCCTCCCCCGCCAAAATCGGGACCGCGGCCCCCCCCGGGCCCCGCCGCGATCGCCCCGCGGCCCCCCCGGAACGAGGCGCCCCCGACTCGGTGCCCCCGCGGGGTTTCGCCCGAGTGCGGCCCCCGAAGTCGCCCCCGGAGCCTCCCGGACGCGCTCGGAGGGTCCCGGTGCCGCAACCGCGCTCCGGGGCCGGGGTCCCGCCCGTCCCGGCGGAACCGGGCACGCGAACCCCCCCGTGGCACCGGGGTCCCGCTCCGAGCCCCCCGCGCCTCCCGCGGGGTCCCCGCGGCACCGGGGCTCGGTCCGCTCCGTTCCAGGCACAACCGGGAGCCCCCGCACCGAGCAGCCGGAGCGGGACGGCAGCCCCGGGACCGGCCCCAGCTCGGTGCCCGCTGCCCCGGGAGGCACCGGCGCCCGCGGAGGGGTCGCCCCGCACCCGTTACCCCCCGTTTTGGGGGGGCAGCAGCCGATGGCCGTGAGCGGCAAAGGGCACCGGTAACACCCCCCCCTCACCCCCCCCCCGCACCGCCGCCGTTACCGGCGCCCCCCGGTCCCGGAGCCCGGCGCGGCCGTACCTGGGTGAGGCAGTACGGGGAGTACATGGCGGCGCTGTCAGCCCCGGCCGGGCATGGCGGGGGCTCCGCGGGGCCGGGGGGTGCCGGGGGGGTCCCGGGGGTCCCGGTGCCGGCGGCGCGCGGGGAAAGTTTTGCCCGAAGTTGGCGCCCGCCTCACTTTTGCCGCGGGAAGCGCGCGCCGGCCACGCCCACGCGGGAATGGCCACGCCCACTAGGGGACACGCCCACTGGTGGCGAACACGCCCACTGTGTAGATAGGACCGCCCACTCTGTGAGGGGACACGCCCACTGGGGCACAGGCCACGCCCATGGCGGGATGGAGCGGGGGGGACGCGCGGGGACACCGGGGGGACACGGGAGGGACACCGGGGGGACACAAGGGACGTGTGGGGGACATTGGGGGACACTGGGGGGACACAAGGTACGTGTGGGGGACATTGGGGGACATTGGGGGGACCCGGAGTGGCCGCCACCCCCCGCGGCCCCGTCCCCCGTCACTGTGACCCCGCAGGGCCCCGCAGGTGACGGCGACAGCGGCGGTGGCGCTGCCGGAGGTGGCACCGCGCGGGGGGACGATGGCAGCGCCGGCGACAGTGGCAGTGCCAGGACAATGGCGAGGCCGGTGCCAGCGCCGGTGTCGTGACAGGGACAGCGACAGGGGCAGGGACAGGGACAACGCCGTGGGGTGGTGACAATGCCAGGGCCACGGCGGTACGGGTGACACTGGCGGTGACACGGTGGTGACAGTGCCAGGGCGATGCGGGTGACACGGTGGTGGCAGTGACACGGTGGTGGCAGTGGTGGTGACAATGCCATGGCGGTGCAGGTGACGCTGGTGGTGACATGGTGGTGGCAGTGCCACAGCGATAGCAGTGACAATGACAGTGCCATGGCGGTGTGGGTGACATTGGCACTGACACGGTGGTGGCACTGACACGTTGGTGGCACTGACGGTGACAATGCCGTGGCAGTGCGGGTGACACTGGCAGTGACAGTGACAGGGTGGTGGCACTGACATGGTGATGGCAGTGATGGTGACAATGCTGTGGCAGTGCGGGTGACACTGGCAGTGACAGTGACACAGTGGTGGCAGAGATGGTGACAATGCCGTGGCAGTGCGGGTGACACTGGCGGTGACAGTGACACGGTGGTGGCACTGACACGGTGGTGGCAGTGATGGTGACAGTGCCGTGGCAGTGTGGGTGACACTGGCACCGACACGGCGATGGCACTGACATGGCGATGGCAGTGCCACGATGGTGACAATGACACGGCGGTGGCACCGACAGTGACAGTGACAGTGACAGTGACAGTGACAGCGGCGATGGCAGCGGCGCTGCCGGCGGAGCCTCATCTGTCATTCCGGCTGCGGCCGCGTCCCTCCGCCATCTGTCACCGCCCGGTGCCAGCGCTGGCACCGCCGCCACCGCCGCTGTCACCCCTTCGCTGCCGGAGCCGCCACCCGAGGGGACCTTGGGGACACGGAGGGGACACGGGGGCGGCTCTGGGGGGGTCCCAGCGCCTCCCGTGTCCCCGCGGGTGTCACAGCGGTGTCCCCTCCCCACGGCACAGGGGGTGGCGCTGCCAGCCTGGGGAACAAAACCGGGAGGGGACAGCGGGGACGGGACGGGGCCGCGGAGGGGCCGCGAGCCCCCGGTGTCCCCCAGTGTCCCCTCGGTGTCCCCCCCCCCGTGTCCCCACCAGCTGCTCGGGGACCCCCGTGCCAGATGCGTCGCTGTCACCGCAGATGGAGCGGGGAGGGAGGGGGTGGCATGTCGCGACAGCAGTCGGGCACATCGTGACAGGCAGTGGTGTCACCTGCCAGCCCCGGGGACGCGGGGAGGGGACGCAGGGGTGTCCCGGTGTCCCGGGGAAGGAGGGACCCCCCCCCCCTGCCCCGGGGGAAATTGGGGCTGGGGGCGGCGGGAGCGGACAAACGCGGGAACGGCAGAAGCCCCAAAATGGGGCAAATCCGCCCCGAAACGGGGCCCCCCCGCTGGCCCGGTTCCACCGGCGGAGGGGGAAACCGGGACCCCCGAGCGCCCCGAGCCCTTCGGACCCCCCCCCCCCCCCCCCGGGGGGCCCAGGGAAGCTTTTGGGGCGATTTCGGGGGATTTTGGCTCCGCTCCGCGCACATTGTCGGCGGCTGCCGAGGCCTGGAAGCCATTAGGGCTCCCCCCCGTCCGGGGCCCCGCCGGAGCGGGCGGGGGGGCCCGGGGGCCCCGCGAGGAGCGGCCCCGCCGCGCTCAGCACCCCCGGTAACCGCGGGGCGCTCCCGGTGCCCCCCGGCCCCGCCCGGTGATCGTGAGGGGGGGACCCGGTAATGGGGGGGGTCCCGGTGATTTGGGGGGGGAATCCGGTGATTTGGGGGGGGGATCCCGATGACGGGGGCGGGCACGGAGGGGTTAACCGGCGCTTGGCAGCGGCCCGGGCTTGGCGGCGGCTGAAAAGGTTCGGGGGGGCTCGGGAGGGCTCGGGGGGGCTCGGGAGGTTCCGCCCCCAGCCCAGCCCCCCCCATTCACGGGGAGGAGCCGGGGGTCGCTGCACCGCGCCCCCCGCCCCTCCCGGAGCCGCTCCGGGGCCGCCGCTTCCCCCCGAGGAGCCCCAAACCGCCCCCGGGACCCCCGAGATGAGCCCCCGGTGCTCCCCGGTCCTACCGGGCCCACTCCGGTCACACCGGGCCCGACCCGGTCCCACCGGGGTCTCCTGAGGTGCCCCGGGTTGGGCTAGGCCCGGAGAGACCCCGGGACCCCCCTGAGCCCACCGGGACCCCCCGAGACCCGGGACCCCCCGCCCAAGCTCCGCCCCCATCCCAGTGACCACGCCCCTGGTCCCACCCACAGTTCTGGCCCCGCCCATCACCCAGACCCCGCCCCATTCTTACCCGCTCCTTCAGTCGCTTTGACGTCACTTTCGGCGCGCGTCCAAGATGGCGGCGCCCTTGCGGCGGGCGCTGCTGGCGCTGGGCCCGGCCCGGTCGCGGCTCCGAGCCGGTTCCGGTCCCGGTGCGGCCTTACCGGGCGGATCCGCTCCGCCGCCGCCCGGGCCCGGCCCCCGCAGACCCGGAGGACCTGCGGGCGGCCGCGCGGCGGTTCGGGCGGCTCGGGGAGGCCTCGGGGGTGCCGGTGTGGCGGCTCTGGCCCAGCCCGGAGCAGCTGCGGGAGGCGGAGGCGGAGGAGCGAGAGTGGGATCCGCCGCTCCGGGAGGTGGAGGCCGTGCTGGAGCAGCGGGAGAGGGAGGAGGCGCGGCGGAGAAAGGAGAGGTGGGGCTGGGAGCACCGGGAACGGGACTGGGACAAACTGGGAGCACCGGGAATGGGACTGGGACAGGACTGGGAGCACTGGGAATGGGACTGGGACTGGACTGGGAGCACCGGGAATGGGACCGGGATGAACTGGGATCACTGGAAATGGAACTGGGAGCACTGGCACGGGGATGGGCAGCACCGGGGAGCACCGGTTCTGTTCAGCCTGGCGAGGATCGCCCGGCGGTACCGGGAGAACGGGGAGGCTTTGGGGGTGGGTTCCCGTTGTCCTCCCCTGTCCTGGGAGCTATCCCCCCATGTCCCCAATGTCCCCCAATGTCCCCGGTGTCCCCAGGGCGGAGCTGGTGTCCGGCAGCCTGGCCGCCATGCCCGCCCGTGTCCCCATGTCCCTAATGTCCCCCAATGTCCCCCCGAGTCCCCAATGTCCCCTCATGTCCCCGGTGTCCCCAGGGCGGAGCTGGTGTCCCGCAGCCTGGCCGCCATGCCGCCCGTGTCGCCGCCTGGCGCCGGGACCGCGAGGCCGCCCGGGAGCGGGCGCGGGCGGAGGCGGCGCGGCGGCAGCGGCTGCTGGCCGAGGCGGGGCTGGGGGCGCTGCCGCGGCCCGGGACCCCCGCCCGGGGCTCGGCCCGAGCGCAGGAGCTGCTGGAGGACCTGGAGAAGCAGCGGCGGCGGGAGGAGAAGAAGCGGCGGCGGCAGGAGCGGGAGGAGGCGGCGCGGAGCGCCCTGGCGGCGGCCGAGGCGGCGGCGGCGGCACGGCCGCTCCCCGGGACCGGCCCCGAGAGCGGCGAGAGCGCCCCCAGACCCACCGGGGGCTCCTCCTGATTCCTCCAGACCTACGGAGGGCACCCCCAGACCCACCGGGGGCTCCTCCTGACTCTTCCAGACCCACGGAGGGCACCCCCAGACCCATCGGGGGCTCCTCCTGACACCCCCCAGACCCACGGAGGGCACCCCCAGACCCATCGGGGGCACCTCCTGACCCCCCGGCAATGCCAGGACCCCCCCCCCCGGTAATGCTGCCACCCCCCTGGTATCCGGTGCCCACCGGGAGGGTCCCACGAGCCCCCCCCCCAGACAGAACGAGGACGCCCAAACTGGGTTTAAAACTCTGCATTTAATCTCTTTGCCGCCAGTTTCGGTTGTTCCGCGGCGCCGCCCCCCCCCCACCCTCCCTTCCCCGGGGCCTGACAGGGAGGGGGGGTCGGATTTTGGGGAGGGAAGGGGGGCCAGGACAAAGCGGGGGTGCTGAGACCCCCCCCCCAAGGGCAGGGAGGGGCTCCCCCTGCTCCCGGGGTGGGGGCAGGGCCGGGGGCGTCCCCATCCCCCCCCCCTCCAGGCTGGATTCCATCCCAACCCCCCCCTCACGGCCTGGGGACCCCCCCGGGGCAGGGGGGAGGGCCGGGGGTCCCTCAGTCGTCGTCGAAGTTCTGGCTGAGCAGGAAATTGGCCGCCAGGTTCTCGTTCTTCTCGCAGGCGAAGTAGGCCTGGATCACCAGGCTCTCGGGAAAGCCCAGCGCCTTCAGCTGGGGACGGGGGGACACGTGGGGCTGAGCCCCCCAGAACGGACCCCGGACCCCCAGAACGGACCCAGACCCCCAGAATGGTCACAAATCCCCCAGAATGGCCCCTGGACCCCCAAAATGGACCCTGCACCCCAAAAACGGCCTCTGTGCCCCAGAACGGCCCTGGAACCCCCAGAATGGACCCCGGACCCCAGAATGGTCACAAATCCCCCAGAATGGACCCCGGACCCCCCAGAATGGACCCCAGAACCCAGAACGGCCCTGGAGCCCCCAGAATGGTCCTGGAACCCCCAGAACGACCCCAGAGCCCCCATAATGGCCCCAGAACGGCTCCCCCACTCTGGGAACCCCTAATAATTCTATTTCCCATTCACTCTGGCTCCTAAAAACATTTTCCAGCAATGTTAATTAACTCAGGATGCTAATTATGGTATTTCCTCTATTCGCCCTGGGCCCTGGTGCTGGGTTCAAACACTGACATTTACCCCCACGTTCACCCCAAAGCCCCCAAATCCCCCACCCCACCCCAAACCCCCCACACCTCAAACCCAAATCCCCCACACCCCAAGTCCCCCAGACCCCAAATCCCTCACGCCCCAAACCCCCCACATCCCAAACCCCACAAATCCCAAATCTCCCACACCCCAAACCCCCCAAACCCCACTCCCCACATCCCAAACTCCCCAAACTGCACACCCCACACCCCAAATTCCCCTCCCCACACCCCAAACCCCCAAACCCAAAACCCCCTACACCCCAAACTCCAAACCCCACTTCCCAAACTCCACTCCCCACACTCCAAACCCCACAAGCCCCCTCCCCACACACCCCATGCTCACCCTCTCTATGGCTTCTTTCTCCTGCGGGGTCACCTGGATGTAGTTCATCTGGGGGACTCGTCCCCGATGGCGCCCACCTCCCCCTCGAGCTCGCCCAGCTCGCCCAGGGGCTCGTTGAGCATCTGGATGAACTGCTCCTGGTGCTGGCTGATTTGCTGGGGAGGGAGGGGGCACACGGGTGGGCTCAGCCCGGGGGGCTCGGGGGGTTCCTGGGGGGCTCGGGGGGTTCCCGGGGGGTACCTGGAGCAGCTGGGGGTTCTCCTGGCCCAGCTGCTGCAGCAGGGCGGGCAGCAGGGCCGGGTTCTGCTGGATCACCTGGCGCATGTTCTGGAACTGCGGCTGCTCCCGCAGGAACTCCAGCGGGTTCTCGCCTGGGGGCGGGGCCGCGTCAGGACACGCCCACGATGGGGCGTGGTTAAAGCACACACACAATTGTGCATGGCTAAACCACACCCACAATGGGGCTTGGATAAACCACACCCACAATGGGGCTTGGATAAACCACGCTCACAATGAGACCACACCCACAATGGGGCGTGGTTAAAGCACACACACAATTTTGCATGGCTAAACCACACCCACAATGGGGCTTGGATAAACCACGCTCACAATGAGACCACACCCACAATGGGGCTTGGATAAACCACACCCACAATGGGGCTTGGATAAACCACGATGACAATGAGACCACACCCACAATGGGGTGTGGTTAAATGACACCCATAATATGGTGTACTGAGGCTACACACACAAGGGCACATGGATAAACCACACCCACAATGGGGCACAGTTAAACCACGCTCCCTAATTATACCTGGATGGGTGTGGCCACGTGGATGCCTTTGACCCTCATAGGCCACACCCAAAGATGAGTATGGTTTACACAGATCACACTCTAAATTGGTGAGGCTTACACAGACCACACAAAAATGGGTGTGGCTTACCCCAGGCCACACCCCAAAACAAGCACAGCTCACCCACACCCCCACCTCCAACAACCACTCAAGGTGATTCCTGAGTGTTTGGCCCCACCCACCAAGGGGGTGGAGCCTCGCAGTGCCCCGCCCACCCCAATTCCCCCCCACTGACCTTCGGGCGGGGGCTGCTCCGGGGGCCGGCTCTCCTGCACCGGGGGCCCGCTCGGGCTCGGGGCTGCCGGGGATGCCCTGGGGGGGCCGGGGGGGTCAGTGCCGGGCCCGGGACCCCCCAGCCCCCCCCCCAGGACCCCCCCCTCACCGTCAGCAGGTACTCCACGGCCCGGTGGGGGTTGTTGTAGCTGGCCCTGAGCGCGGCCACCACGCGCTCCCGCTCGTAGCCCATGGACACGATCTCGGAGAGCATCGTCTCGTACTCGGAGCCCGTCACTGCGAGAGGGACCCCCAAAACCCCCAGAGAGACCCCGTGAGATGGGAGAGACCCCCAGAGAGACCCCCAAGAGAGGGGAGAGACCTGGGACCCCCACCCCAAAACCACCCCCACCCAGAGACCCCATGGACACGATCTCGGAGAGCATCGGCTCGTATTGGAGCCTGCCACTGTGGGACCCCCCAAAAACCCCCCAGAGAGACCCCCGTTAGAGACCCCCTGGGACCCCCATGACCCCCCGCTCAGCTGGGAGAGACCCACAGGACCCCCACCCAGAGACAGCATTGTAGCCCGTGGACACGATCTCGGAGAACATCGTCTCGTGCTCGGAGCCTGTCACTGTGGGACCCCCACCCCAAAAGAGACCCCGTGAGATGGGAGGGACCCCCAAACCACCCCCAGGACCCCCCAAACCCCGCCAGACCCCCCAGATCCCCCCAGGACCCACCGAGGGTGGAGGCGGCGTCGGCCGAGCGCCCGGAGCTGCCCGAGGGGGGAACGGAGCTGCCGAGGCAGGGGAGAAACCATCAGGGGAGCCCCAAAACCCCTGGGAGCCCCCCAAAACCCCTGTGACCCTCCCCAAACACCTGTGACTCCCCCCCAAGATCCCAGTGAGCCCCCCAACCCCCCCTGCAGTGCCCCCAAAACTCTCCTGTCCCCCCACATTAGACCCAAGTTAATGACCCCCCAAAAGTTTTCCATCCCATCCCTTAAATCTACCCCAAACCTCCCAATTTACCCCCAAATCACTGAACTGCCCAAAATCTGATGACATGACTTCTCCATCTCTCAATTCTCCCCCAGACACCCTCCTGTGCCCCCACCTCCAAAATCTGCTAAAATTGACCCCCCCAAACCCTCCCCAGCTTCCCAAACCCATTCCAGACCCCCCAAACCCTCCCCTGAACCCCCAAATCCATCCCCTGAACCCCCCAACCCTCCCCAAACCCATTCCTGACCCCCCAAACCCTCCCCTGAACCCCCAAACCCTCCCTAGCCCCCCCCAATCCATCCCCTGAGCCCCCAAACCCATTTCAGACCCCCCAAATCCATCCCCTGAGCCCCCAAAGCTCCCCAAACCTACCCTTGTCCCCCCCAAACCCTCCCCGGACCCCTCAAACCCTCCCCAGCCCCTGCAAATCCATTCCTGACCCCCCCAAACTCATTCCTGACTCCCCCCAGCCCCCTCAAACCCACCCCAGACCCCCCAAGCCCCCCGTCCCTCACCCCGCCGCGGGCTCAGGCAGGGTCAGCGCAGGGGGGGGGTCCTGGGCCGGGGGCTCCTCGCTGGGCGTGGCCGGGGGGGGAGGGGCAGCGGCATCGGCGGCCGGGGGGGGCCCCGGGGGGGCTGCGGGGGGGGGCTCCGAGGGGGCCCCGGCCTCGGGGGGGGCCGAGCCCAGCGCAGACTTGGCCTGGGAGGGGGGAAAGGGGGGCTGGGGATACCCTGGGACCCCCACAGTGGGGAGCCCTGAGACCCCCAGAGTGGGGAACCCCAGAGTGGGGAGCCCTGAGACCCCCACCCCAGCTCTGAGGGACCCCTGGGACCCCCCAGAGCCACCTGAGACCCCCCCAACAGCCCCCTCCCAAGGGCCTTGCGACCCTCCAAACCTCCCTGGGGACCCCCAAATCCCTCCCCAGGACCCCTCAGAGTCCCCCAAATGGCTCAGAGATCCCTCAGATACCCCAAATCCTACATGGGGACCCCCAAATCCCTCCCCAGGACCCCTCAGAGTCCCCCAAATGGCTCAGAGACCCCTCAAACTTTACACAGGGACCCCCGACTCCCTCCCAAGGACCCCTTAGGGTACCCCAGATGGCTCAGAGACCCCTCAGGGTTCACCCAAATGACCCTGAGACCACTCAGACCCCCCAAACCCTACATGGGGACCCTGAAATCACTCCCACAGACCCCTCAGGGTTCTCCAAATGGCTCCCAGACACCTCAAACTTTACACAGGGCCCCCCAACCCCCCCAAACTTTACACAGGGACCCCCAAATCCCTCGCAAGGACCCCGTAGGGTACCCCAAATGGCTCAGAGACCCCTCAGGCCTCCCAAACCCTACCTAGGGGCCCCTCAGGATTCCCCCAAACAGCTCAGAGACCCCCCAAACTTTACACA